ACATGCCGAATATTTACAAGGTCAACATCGATGATCATTTTCAGAACGTTGTTTAAAAGTCAAAGATATCAAAACAGTATTAAAAATAACCATATAGAAACCAAACCATAGGGAAATTTAGAATGACGCTTTTTTCTTTCTTTTTTCAATGACGTTAATTAATTATAGTCATAACTACTTTTCTAAATACACCATCAATGTCTATTTTTAGTAAGTTGTTCCACGGAAATAAGATAAAGATAAAATAATAACCATTTGAAATAAAATCACTTAATTATCCGGTTATATTGGTGGGTATATCATTTGTGATACTTTATGTATTCTATATTAATATTTAACATTAGTTTACATTATGACAATACGTAGACCTTAATTTCATTAAAATGCACATTCAGTATTATTAAACGTTGCTAGAGTGAGTTCATAATAATGCTGACGTCACTTATTTCAGCCATGTTATTCATAGCTGATATTCTCTGTCTCAAATGACAGATATCATTCTAATGAAATAACCTTCTTCATGCTATACTAACGAATTATACTGAAGACAAAACTGACTCGTGATCGTAATTGGTTTATTATTTATATGTAGCGTTGTGCAGCATACAAGGTACCCCTACCATCACTATGAGAACTATTTTCAGGTTTTTGAACAAATTCAAGAATTGGAAATTTTAAAACAAAAAGGTAATTACGACACAGCAAATCCCTCTGAGTTACTTACAGTGGCTGAGACATGGGTCTATTACTTTGAATCCCAGAGTCGCATTAATAACAAGCAATGGTTGACAGGAAACCAAGAAATGCCAGTGATTGTTTGACGCATAAAAAGGCGCAAAGAAAGTTTCGTATGCCAATTTGTGTCAATTCTAGTGGTTTAGATACCGTGCAAGAAAGGGAAGGTTTTACAGAGATACAGTACTGAAGCCTATCAAGATAATCTAAACATAAAACCGCCCAAACTGAATGGCACCCAGCTTATTCACGACAATGCATAAAACCACAAAAGCAATTGTGAACTGACGTTTTTAAAGCCAGAGAAGGTAATCCCTGCCATGTGGCGAATCAAAACCTTTGTCAACAATTTCAATATAAAAACGCCTACACTCACTGCGATATCGCGACGAAGCGTGATTCTTGCATGAAATGATTTATTTCATTTAGCATAACAACATGGCAACATCAGAATTGTTTCGAAATTTCCAAATTATATGAAAGCTCTGAACGGAAACAGATGAGAAACACCTAACCTGATTAGTGAAAAAATCCGGATTTATTAATTATATTTAATCCAAATGCCTTGCTCAGCTTAATTAGGAAAGATATGTTTAAATTAATTTCCAGATTGTAACAACTGTTACGATTATTATAGCATATAGCATTGATCGAGACCATCGAGATAAGCTGAATTGCTGCGTCCATGTCAACGCGTCACAACAAAAATATGTAAACAATGAAATTAAAAATCTTGGTATCATTATAATAGATTTTTGGGGGTCAAAATGGATACCGACAAAAAAAGGAAACGTATTTGAGTAGTAGATGTGTTTAACTTGAACTCAAAGACATATTTAGATTTTATTCAAGTATATATTGAAGTTAACGATCTGTATTTTTATTTTTTTATGGTGCATTACAGTTCCGCTCAACAATTTCCATGATGCACGTTGGTAAATCTCAGAGAATATGTTTGAACGAAACTGTTTGTTTATAATTACCATCAGCAATGTAATAAGATATGCATTTCATTGACCTTTTATTTACATTCAAAACAAGAAAAAAAATGTGACTCCCCTGATTGTTCTGTTTTTGGCTTGATACATTTTAAACAATTTGTTTTACCAAATGTTGGAAAAACGATGGAGTCATGTGCAGGTACAGGATCTTTATTTCCATCAGGCAACAGAAGTCGATCAGAAATCATTCAAGAAATTCCGTCATATTTTAAATTTAACGTCACTCCATGATTGGTCACTGATAATTCTAACATTATGGTTCCGAGACTCTTAACAGTTTTTCCGATTGGAAAACATTAAAGTGTAATAGTTGTTTCTGTTATTAGTTTATTTTAGTTTGTAGGGTTATATAAGGGTGGGAAAAATGGAAATATGATGATGACATTTGGTTTCTATTTGAGTTATATAGACTTATAATGACATTTGGTTCACATTTGAGTTATATAGACTATAATGACATTTGGTTAATATTTGAGTTATATACACTTATAATGACATTTGGTTAATATATGATTTTATAAACTTATAATGACATTAAGATTATTGAATGATGATTAGTATTTCATTATTGTATACATGGTGTAGCTAAAGTCCAATAATTATATTTTTACAATGTTGAATTTCAAAATTTCAGTTAGCAATATTTAAAGTGTTGAAGCTATGGATCTTTTATATCTTTTAAGTTTGATAATACAATCATAACTACTGCACCATTCCGTCTGTTTTATCTAATTTAATTGTTTCATATTCTAATAAATATTAAGCTTTTTCTTGAAACAATATTTATGGTTTGACACTTGTAAACTGTTCACGTTTATGGAATTTGTCACCTTTGCAATGCAGCTGATATAAATAATTTATTGCGTGTCAACAATTGTCCATGTCTATTTTGTGCAGATATGGTAATGCGACAGTGTAACAAAATATCTTTACTATATTACAGAAATGTTATCCCTCAAAAAAATTTATTGTTATTATGTATGAGATTTAAAGATTGACGTAATAGACTGACAAATTTATTTTATATTCAGACAAGTTTTTCGCCTGCTGTGTATCTTGCTTTGAAATTGATATACATTTTTTCCTTAGCATGGTAATATGATTTCTATTGTTTGACAGGTGAACGAGGTTGAAATTAATTTTCTCTGTAGTATGTTTACACCAAAGGGTGGTGATGCTGTGTGTGTATTTGCACGATAATGCAAATTCACACACAGCAGTTCCACTTATTGACGTACCTGAATACGCCATTCAGGCGGTGCCTCTGTTGCTACGAGTATTTACCTTTTACAAGAATATTGTTAAAAGTATATGTCACACAAAATTTTCATCAGTTTATTATTGTTAGTTTAATCATGAAATAATTAATGTTTTTTTCCCCAATTAATAGTGCTTTTCAATGAAACAATAGATGAAAATTATTGTATTACCTGTAGATCAGAAATTAATGGTTTAATAGTTTAGCATAAAAATGTTTCAAAATGTAATGGGCATATGGTTTCACGTAAATAATGCAAGTTTGATACGTATAATTATAGTCACAAATACATTTTCATTCACTATATTTCTATTATTCAGTAAAACCTGTCTTATCCGACTCCCGAGTATTCTTATATCCTTTCATATCTGTCATTCTGATGTTATTTCATTTTTTTATATAAAATTTGTTCGTTTTTCAAAGGGTCACGGATTGGACAGGTTTCACTATATACTTTATGATATTTGTATGATGTGATATGACAAAAATTGATCACCCTGATTTTCATATTTACAAAAATCAGTCAATGTTTGATTCTCATATTAACACCGTTTTCCTCTACCCATAAAGTCTCACCAAATACAAACTGATTTGTTTTTTATTATATCTGTTAAATTCAAGATATAGAAACTTGCATTAAAATATAAAAACGTAAATATATATTAAACCAAAAGATGTGTTTTGTCATAATAACACTGTGGACCCCGTTTATCAAAGCCTTGGTTTATTCACAAAACTCAACAGGCTTTTAGCATTTGGACCTTTTGTCTTGGTAATTTTTCTCATGGTAGTTTGTAATCATTGTTTTGATTGGTCAAATCATCAGACGTGACAAGTAACAAACCCTAATATTATACAAGTAGCCCAAATGTGCAAAGCCTGGTTAGCTTAACGAAACGTAGACTGAGCTTAAGAAAATCCGTCTGAGACACAAGCCTACTTCTTTATATACTCTTTTTACAGAATGAATAATTTTCAATATTTCATTAATAAAAATGTAATAAACGATGTAACTTTAATAGTATTAGTTTTAACAAAAATATAGATAAACTCATCCTTTGTTATTTTCATACATAATGGTAGTAAGTTATTCTTGAAATTAAGTATTAGACCTATTCATGTAAAAATACGCACTAAAACAACTTAATGTTTTAAAGACGTCGACAACTTACACAAATAGCTGTATCGAATTAACCTAACAATGTACTATAAACGTGCTGGCGGTCACTCATCCAGACACTGACCTCGCTCGACGCTGGTGAACTAGTCAACGAGTACCAGAAATATTCCGCATCGCTGGAAAAGCTAGCTTGCCAGTATGTCAGTAGCCACTCTCCCGTTCTATTCATTTGCTGCTACACTATACACTATTCCGCCAGAGAAGTCTCGTCTCAGACTGGGTCAAAGGAATATTCAGCTGGTCCTCACAATTTACCATTGTGTCTTTACGAACCACCTGAAACTTTACAAGGTATCACAGGGCCATGATGCGCCCACCAAATGTAACTTGCGCGTCGTCACCCATCCAGATACTGACTACGCTCGACGTTGCTGAACCAGAGAGCGCGTTACGGGTTAAATCTCATCACTGGAAAAGCTACCTTGTAAGTAAGACAGAAGTTCCCTCGTCATTCTCCTTATGCAATGCTACACTCTTGTTTGTCGTTTTCAAACACTCCGATATATAAGTTTAAAGCTCCATCACTTGTACTGTACCATCCTTACAGCCGATCCAAACATGTCCACACCTGTCTACACACACAGCCATTGGTTGAGTTACCCCATGTTTCTTGTCCAGGAGACACTTGGCCTTTCTCTCATTTCCCGAGAAGACGTATACCTGGTTAGTGTGGTAGTCTGGTACAAACACCCTGTCATATCTATCTCTTGCTATATTAGATTGCATCGTCTGTTCTATCTTTTGACCATTGTCCAGTTCCCCACTCCACGTACGTATGATCTGATCATATGTATTTACGGTCACTAGTTCTTTACAGTAACTACCATCACCAGTGGCAACAGCTAGGTTTCCTTCTGTCAAACATACGATTCTGATCCCAATCTGCCCACAAGAGATTTGTCTGATTCTCCCCGGACATGTTCAGTACCAGTATTGTTATAGTGTTAGTAGTAACAAACACCTCGTCACTGTCACTGACACTGATACCCCAGGCTTTAAGTGGACTGATGTCAGTAAACCTGGTCACTTGTCTGTCCTTTGATAGTTTGTATATCAGTGGTAAACTACCACGACACGTGATCAGTAGTTCTTCTGTGTTGGTCACTGTCAGACACCACCGGTTAAAGTCAAGCTTGACAGACTCTATGACCTTACCTTCCTTGTTGACTTTAATCAATTCTGTAGATTCATGTACTGACATCCATGCCTGAGAGTCTTCAGTAGGACAAATTGAGATTATTGTATTCTGATGAGGAACTCGGAACATAGAAAGATTCAGGACATGTCGACTGTCGACTTCCTTCTTCTCATACCTGGCGGAAACATATCCAATCATTTCTTTCAACTGCTTTGTATCAAGTTGACCGGTTACCAAGCTTGGTGTGCGTTGTGGTACATGTACACTTTTCCCAGTGACGTCATACAGCGGTACAGTATTTCTCAGTCTCCCCGTCAGCTCAAACAATTCTGTACTGGACATCTGTTCTGCTTTCTGCTCTATATCTCCAATCAGCTGTGTTATATCTTTGACATGCTTCTCATCCGGCTGACAATCCTGTTTGCAGGATTCGTCTTCCTCAGCAGCCAAAGATGACAACTCCACCAGTATTGAGGTGACGATAGAATCAATTTCGGCTTTCAACATTAATCCCTGGGCTTGAACATCTTTCCGAACAACATCAAGGCTTTCTCTGAATGTTTTGCTTGCTTCATGGCGCTTTGAACGATGATCACTAAAGTAGTATAACTTGGAATTTAACGTTTCCAGTTGTTCTTGCGCGTACCGTTTCTGTGACTCCATTTCTTCTTCAATATGGCCAACAGTGTGTTGATTGTGTTTCTGGGTAAAACACATCGAACACATTACGACGAGACATTCTTTACAGAACAGTTCTAATGTTTTACCAGGGTGGGTCTTACATACCTCTGGTAGTAGTACCTTGCCTTGTTTGTCTGCCTCTTGAATTGGTACAACGTCGTCATTCCGTGTCTTCTTCCCACGTTGATGAACGTCCTTACATTTGTCACACATCACCTCCTGGCAGTCATTACAAAACCAGTTTACTGCTTCGATGCTATCACACAAAGTACACGTAACGGGCACGTGTACCTGCGCACGACTAATCAATATTTTACTTGCCATTTCAACTTCCAAAACAAACCAAACTATACCTGACGCGCCGCCATTTGCATTTCACATTTAAACTTCCTTGCTCAGCTGGTTTTTTTATTAAACATATGNCTTGTTCTTCAAGGGTGCTTTCGTGGTCGTTTTTAATTTTTTCTAAATGCTCGATTTTCCCCTTTAGAGCTTCGATAGTGGATTCCTGTAGGGATAATTTATGTGCGAGCTCGTTTACTGATTCTTGTGTAGCTGTATTCTGGCATTTAGATAAAGCGTTCTTGATCAAATCACCGTCGCTAACCAACGCAGACACGTGACTTTCGATCAATGGATTTATTTCCTCTAGGAGAGCTTTTTGTAGAATCGACGCCACCATATTGGCTACTGGATGGACTAACATCTGAATAAGTTGGTTTATGAACAGGGGAGTTGAAATAGTCTGATATATAGAATCTGTTATTGAGGATGTCGCCGGACTATTGAAAAGAACTGATCTCTTGGGGTCTGTTTGAGCCGTATTATCGGGTGATATCTCTTGCAGTGGCCGTTTTTTGGTATCGGTATGGAATAAAGGCGATGAAAACAACAGCGCCTGTTCATGTGATATTGAACCGGAATGTCCAGGGGTCGCTGAGGTCAAAACCGATGGCTGGGTGTATACGTGAGTGTCGCTTACCTGGTCATGGTTGATTAGGTTTACCTGTGGGTCCGGACCGTCGTACTGGGTGCATAATTCACCTGTATCCGCCATTATCCAAATCTGAGATAGCACAGGTATAAGAATGTAATGGTAGATAAAACCAAAACCACAGTTTCCAAAGTCACTTTGAGCACATGTTTCAGTTCAGTGATTAAAGCATAAGCTCACAGTCCAAACAATTTGGGTCTCAACTGTATATAAATATAGCAAATATAGGATAGTGTACGCACCCCGATCAAAACACGTCTGCTCAGCTCATCGAACACATGTTATCTGGTCCTAGGAACGTTGTGTACATGGATCGGAAGGTTTACGAACATGTCCTAAGAAAGTTGTTACATGGAACGAAAGGTTGACAGAGACATGTCCTAAGAAAGTCGTGTACATGGATAGAAAGGTTTACAGAGACATGTCCTAAGAAAGTCGTGTAGATGGATCGGAAGGTTTACAGAGACATGTCCTAAGAAAGTCGTGTAGATGGATCGGAAGGTTTACAGAGACATAGCCTAAGAAAGTTGTGTACATGGATCGGAAGGTTTACAGAGACATGTCCTAAGAAATTCGTGTACATGGATCGGATGGTTTACGGAGACATGTCCTAAGAAAGTCGTGTACATGGATCGGAAGGTTTACAGAGACATAGCCTAAGAAAGTTGTGTACATGGATCGGAAGGTTTAAGGAGATATGTCCTAAGAAAGTCGTGTACATGGATCGGATGGTTTACAGAGACATGTCCTAAGAAAGTCGTGTACATTGATCGGAAGGGTGACAGAGACATGTCCTAAGAAAGTCGTGTACATGGATCGGAAGGTTTACAGAAACATGTCCTAAGAAAGTTGGGTACATGGATCGAAAGGTTTACAGAGACATGCCCTAAGAAAGTCGTGTACATGGATCGGAAGATTTACAGAGAGATCGGAAGGTTTACAGAGACATGTACTAAGGAAGTTGTGTACATGGATCGGAAGGTTTAAGGAGATTTGTCCTAAGAAAGTCGTGTACATGGATCGGAAGGTTTACAGAGACATAGCCTAAGGAAGTTGTGTACATGGATCGGAATGTTTACAGAGACATGTCCTAAGGAAGTTGTGTACATGGAACGGAAGGTTTACAGAGACATGTCTTAAGAAAGTCGTGTACATTGATCGGAAGGTTGACAGAGACATGTCCTAAGAAAGTCGTGTACATTGATCGGATGGTTTACAGAGACATGTCCTAAGAAGTCGTTTACATTAAACGGAAGGTTTATCAGAAACATGTCCCAAGAAAGTTGTGTACATGGATCGGAAGGTTTACAGAGACATGTCCTAAGAAAGTCGTGTACATGGATCAGAAGGATGACAGAGACATATCCTAAGAACGTTGTGTACATGGATCGGATGGTTTACAGAGACATGTCCTAAGAAAGTTGTGTACATGGATCGGAAGGTTTACAGAGACATGTCCTAGGAAAGTTGTGTATATGGATCGGAAGGTTTACAGAGACATAGCCTAAGAAAGTTGTGTACATGGATCGGAAGGTTTACAGAGACATGTCCTAAGGAAGTTGTGTACATGGAACGGATGGTTTACAAAGACATGTCCTAGGGAAGTTGTGTATATGGATCGGAAGGTTTACAGAGACATGTCCTAAGAAGTCGTTTACATTAAACGGACGGTTTATCAGAAACATGTCACAAGAAAGTTGTGTACATGGATCGGAAGGTTTACAGAGACATGTCCTTAGAACGTTGTGTACATGGATCGAAAGGTTTACAGAGACATGTCCCAGGAAAGTTGTGTATATGGATCGAAAGGTTTACAGAGACATAGCCTAAGAAAGTTGTGTACATGGATCGGAAGGTTAACAGATACATGTCCTAAGAAAGTTGTGTACATGAATCGGATGGTTTACAGAGACATGTCCTATGAAAGTTGTGTACATGGATCGGAAGGATGACAGAGACATGTTCTAAGAAAGTCGTGTACATGGATCGGATGGTTTACAGAGACATGTCCTAAGAAAGTTGTGTACATGGATCGGATGGTTAACAAAGACGTGTCCTAAGAAAGTTGTGTACATGGATCGGAAGGTTTACAGAGACATGTCCTAAGAAAATTGTGTACATGGATCGGAAGGTGTACAGAGACATGTCCTAAGAAGTCGTTTACATTAAACGGAATGTTTACAGAGACATGTCCTAAGGAAGTTGTGTACATGGATCGGAAGGTGTACAGAGACATGTCCTAAGAATGTTGTGTGCGTGGATCGGAAGGTTTACAGAGACATGCCCTAAGAAGTCGTTTACATTAAACGGAAGGATTACAGAGACACGTCCTAAGAAAGAAGGTTTACAGAGACATAGCCTAATAAAGTTGTGTACATGGATCGGAAGGTTTACAGAGACATGTCCTAAGAAGTCGTTTACATTAAACGGAAGGTTTACAGAGACATGTCCTAAGAAAGTTGTGTACATGGATCGGAAGGTTTACAGAGACATGTACGAAGAAAGTTGTGTACATGGATCGGAAGGGTTACAGAGACATGTCCTAAGAAGTCGTTTACATTAAACGGAAGGGTTACAGAGACATGTCCTAAGAAAATTGTGTACATGGATCGGAAGGTGTACAGAGACATGTCCTAAGAATGTCGTTTACATGGATCGGAAGGTTTATCAGAGACATGTACGAAGAAAGTTGTGTACATGGATCGGAAGGTTTACAGAGACATGTCCTAAGAAAGTTGTGTACATGGATCGGAAGGTTTACAGAGACATGTCATAAGAAAATTGTGTACATTGAACGGAAGGTTTATAAGAAACATGTCCCAAGAAAGTTGTGTACAAGGATCGGAAGGTTTACAAAGACGTGTCCTAAGAAAGTTGTGTACATGGATCGGATGGTTTACAGAGACATATCCTAAGAAAGTTGTGTACATGGATCGGAAGGATTACAGAGACATGTCCTAGGAAAGTTGTGTACATGGATCGGAAGGTTTACAGAGGCATGTCCTAAGAAAGTTGTTTACATGGATCGGAAGGTTTACAGAGACATGTCCTAAGGAAGTTGTGTACATGGAACGGAAGGTTTACAGAGACATGTCGTAAGGAAGTCGTGTACATGGATCGGAAGGTTTACAGAGAGATGTCCTAATAAAGTCGTGTACATGGATCGGAAGATTTACAGAGATATGTCCTAAGGAAATAGTTTACATTGAACGGAAGGATTAAAGAGACATGTACATGGATCGGAATGTTTACAGAAACATGTCCTAGGGAAGTTGTGTACATGGAACGGAAGGTTTACAGAGAGATGTCGTAAGAAAGTTGTGTAAATGGATCGGATGGTTTAAAGAGACATGTACGAAAAATGTCGTGTGCATGGAACGAAAGGTTTAAAGAGACATGTCGTATGAAAGTCGTGTAAATGGAATGGAAGGTTTAAAGAGGCATGCCCGAAAAATGTCGTGTACATGGAACGGAAGGTTTAAAGGGACATATACCAAGAAAGTCGTGTACATGGATCAGGTGTGAAAAAAAATCCATTGATAGGAAGCCGATACGTATGCATATGAGAAATATTTGTGTTGGTTGTGGAACGTGACATGTTTGCTTACGATGCGTACAATGTATGGAAGCTGAAATTTCAAAATGATTTACAATAAATGTGAAATAGGCTACGCACCTAGTCAGCTCTGTACTTCCTGCACTTGTATCAATAGATCGGGAGACAAAAACGTCACCATTAAAGAAGGACACGGCGTCAATATTTTAAGAAGAAAAAAAATGTATTATTGCAATATTTCCTGCTTTTGTTGGGTGTCTCATTTGTCCTGCTTTTGTGAGGTGTCTCATCTGTCTTTTTTGTGTTAGTGTCTCAATTGTCGTCTTTTTGTGTTGTTGTCTAATTTGTCCTCTTTTTGTGTTGGTGTCTTATTTGTCCTCTTTTTAATAGGTGTCTCATTTGTCCTCTTTTTGTGTTGGTGTCTCATTTGTCCTCTTTTTGTGTTGGTGTCTCATTTGTCCTCTAATTGTGTTGANAAAGAAGGACACGGCGTCAATATTTTAAGAAGAAAAAAATGTATTATTGCAATATTTCCTGCTTTTGTTGGGTGTCTCATTTGTCCTGCTTTTGTGAGGTGTCTCATCTGTCTTTTTTGTGTTAGTGTCTCAATTGTCGTCTTTTTGTGTTGTTGTCTAATTTGTCCTCTTTTTGTGTTGGTGTCTTATTTGTCCTCTTTTTGTGTTGGTGCCTCATTTGTCCTCATTTTGTTTTGGAGTCTCATTTGTCCTCTTTTTGTGTTGATGTCTTATTTGTCCTCTTTTTGTGTTGGTGTCTCATTTGTCCTCATTTTGTTTTGGTGTCTCATTTGTCCTCTTTTTGTGTTGATGTTTCATTTGTCCTCTTTTTGTGTTGATGTCTCATTTGTCCTCTTTTTGTCTTGGTGTCTTATTTGTCCTCTTGTTGTGTTGGTGTCTTATTTGTCCTCTTTAATTAGGTGTTTCATTCGTCCTCCTTTTTGTGTTGTTGTCTCATTTGTCCTCTTTTGCGTTGACGTCTCATTTGTCCTCTTATTGTGTTAGTGTCTAATTTGTCCTCTTATTGTGTTGGTGTCTCATTTGTCCTCTAATTGTGTTGATGTCTCATTTGTCCTTTTTTTGTGTCGATGTCTCATTTGTCCTCTTTTGCGTTGACGTCTCATTTGTCCTCTTATTGTGTTGTTGTCTCATTTGTCCTCTTTTTGTCTTGGTTTCTCATTTGTCCTCTGTTTGTGTTGGTGTCTCATTTGTCCTCCTTATTGTGTTGGTGTCTCATTTGTTGGTGTCTCATTTGTCCTTCTTTTTGTGTTATTGTCTCATTTGTCCTCTTTTTGCGTTGATGTCTCATTTGTCCTCTTTTTGTCTTGGTTTCTCATTTGTCCTCTGTTTGTGTTGGTGTCTCATTTGTCCTCTAATTGTGTTGATGTCTCATTTGTCCTCTTTTGTGTTGATGTCTCATTTTTCCTCTTTTTGTGTTGGTGTCCTATTTGTCCTCTTTTGAATTGGTGTCTCATTTGTCCTCTGTTTGTGTTGGTGTCTCATTTGTCATTCTTTTTGTGTTGGTGTCTCAATTGTCCTCTTTTTGTGTTGGTGCCTCACTTGCCCTCCTTTTTGTGTTGGTGTCTACTTTGTCCTTCTTTTTGTGTTGGTGACTCATTTGTCCTCTTTTTGTGTTTGTGTCTTATTTGTCCTCTTTTCATAAGGTGTTTCATTTGTCCTCTTTTTGTGTTGTTGTCTTATTTGTCCTCTTTTTAATAGGTGTCTCATTTGTCCTCTTTTGCGTTGACGTCTCATTTGTCCTCTTATTGTGTTGGTGTCTCATTTGTCCTCTTTTGCGTTGATGTCTCATTTGTCCTCTTATTGTGTTGATGTCTCATTTGTCCTCTTTTTGTGTTGGTGTCACATTTGTCCTCATTTTATTTGTGTCTTTTTTTGTCCCCTTTTTGTGTTGGCGTCTTATTTGTCCTCCTTTTTGTGTTGATGTCTCATTTGTCCTCTTTTTGTGTTGGTGTCACATTTGTCCTCATTTTATTTGTGTCTTTTTTTTGTCCCCTTTTTGTGTTGGTGTCTTATTTGTCCTCTTGTTGTGTTGGTGTCTTATTTGTCCTCTTTTATTAGGTGTTTCATTCGTCCTCCTTTTTGTGTTGTTGTCTCATTTGTCCTTCTTTTTGTGCTGATGTCTCATTTGTCCTCTTTGTGTTTTGTTGTCTCATTTGTCCTCCTTTTTGTGTTGGTGTCTACTTTGTCCTTCTTTTTGTGTTGGTGTCTCATTTGTCCTCTTTTTGTGTTGGTGTCTCATTTGTCCTTCTTTTTGTGTTATTGTCTTATTTGCCCTCTTTTTGAGTTGATATCTCATTTGTCCTCTTTTTGTGTTGGTGTCTCATTTGTCCTCTTTTTGTGTTGGTGTCTCACTTGCCCTCCTTTTTGTGTTGTTGTCTTATTTGTCCTCTTTTCATAAGGTGTTTCATTTGTCCTCTTTTTGTGCTGGTGTCTCATTTGTCCTCCTTTTTGTGTTGGTGTCTCCTTTGTCCTCTTTTTGTGTTTGTGTCTTATTTGTCCTCTTATTGTGTTGATGTCTCATTTGTCTTCTTTTTGTGTTGTTGTCTTATTTGCCCTCTTTTTGAGTTGATATCTCATTTATCCTCTTTTTGTGTTGGTGCCTCATTTGTCCTCTTTTTGCGTTGGTGTCTCCTTTGCTTCCTTTTTGTGTTGGTGTCTCACTTGCCCTCCTTTTTGTGTTGTTGTCTTATTTGTCCTCTTTTCATAAGGTGTTTCATTTGTCCTCTAATAGGTGTCTCATTTGTCCTTCTTTTTGTGTTATTGTCTTATTTGCTCCTCATTTTGTTTTGGTGTCTCATTTGTCCTTTTTTGTGTTGATGTCTCATTTGTCTTCTTTTTGTGTTGTTGTCTTATTTGTCCTCTTTTCATAAGGTGTTTCATTTGTCCTCTAATAGGTGTCTCATTTGTCCTCTTTTTGTGTTGGAGTCTCATTTGTCCTCTTTTGCGTTGATGTCTCATTTGTCCTCTTATTGTGTTGATGTCTCATTTATGCTCTTTTTGTGTTGGTGTCTTATTTGTCCTCTTTTTGTGTTTGTGTCTTATTTGTCCTCTTTTCATAAGGTGTTTCATTTGTCCTCTTTTTGTGTTGATGTCTCCTTTGTCCTCTTTTTGTGTTGATTTCTCATTTGTCCCCTTTTTGTGTTGATGTCTCCTTTGTCCTCTTTTTGTGTTGATTTCTCATTTGTCCCCTTTTTGTGTTGGTGTCTCATTTGTCCTCTTTTTGTGTTGGTGTCTCCTTTGCTTTGGTCGATTCCTGTAGTTGGTTTGATGTCTCGTCATGATGAAACCTTCTTTTTGTTTGATGTCACATTGATGTCTTCCTTTGTTTTGTATTTTATGCACAGTTGGTTTTGTTCTGGTGCCTAGAGTTTCTGGCTATTTTACAGGTCTCATTGTATTTGGTCTTGTTTTGAGGTAAGTGTCTCATTCATTCCTTCGTTTTATTTCTATTGATTACGAGGTTGTTTCTGTTTTTGTTTTGGTATCTCATCGGTCCTGCTTTTGTTTGCTGTCCCATTCGTTTTTGCTTTTGTGTCGTTGTCTCACATTGGCCCTGCTTTTCTATGAATGTCCGATTGGTTCTGCTTCTGTTTTGATTACAGGTCTGATCTTTGATCTTGACATTTGACCCTTGAACCTTGCCATATGACCACCAAAATATAAATAGGTGTTGATCTCAAAAGTACCATACTTAATTGTTAATATGAACTAAATGTCTTCAGGGTTTCACGAGGTATTGTTTTACACGTTACTATAATTTTGTGTTGGGGAGGAGGTAATTAAGGTTGAATTTCTATTGGCAGCGGACCAATTTTGTCTTCTCCAATATCTCTTTAGTAAATGAAACAGAAAAAAGCATGAAACCAGTCCCTTTGTTTTAGGACTTTAAAGGGGATACCGCAGTTTTAAATCTGCACTGTCTTTTGTCATTTGTTTCTGCTTTTTCTGTCAATGTTTCAAACATGATGTATTATGGTATGGAGAGTGTCCATCCATCATTCAGTCTGTCTTTTGTCTCTTTTTCTTCAATTTTACTCCTTGGACCTCGCGCGAGCCCTCAGACCCCTGGGCCATGGTCTAAATGTTCATAAGATCACGCTGCAATCATGTGATGATAATTCCAACCAAGTGTGAATTCTTTACCACTAAAATTAAGCAAACTATATCAAAAAGTGTCATTTCTCTACATATCGTTAACATTACCTCCTCCCAGGGGAGGAATGGTTGAAGCAGGGGTAATGAAATTTCATAATTTTGATAAAGCTCCTTAAGCTCCTTTCATCCATAAAGAGTATATGATTCCAGCATATCTGGGGCTTAATAAGTTTGTTGATATTTCAGCTAATACGACCCCTTTTGTCACCACCCTGGAGTACCATTGGGGATTATCTCCATATAATTCACAAATTTGGTTTGTCTTGGAGCACGGAACCTTTCTGCAAAACTTTATTGAAATTGGTTCAGTGGTTTTGCAGAAGAAGTTTACAGATGGACGACGCCAGACAGAGACGATCACAATAGGTCAACTGAGCCTTTGTGACTCAATGAACAAAACTTTGAAAAAAAAAAGTTTTCATAATCCAAGTTCGACCGAGGACACCTCAGCTGTGTTTTATTGCCAGTTTTGGGTGTACACAAAATACACACATCAGTTGACACATGTACAACCTCACACGTTCTCACACATACACAAAGCACCATGAATACAATCATCCTTCAAGGTCATGACCCCAAAAATCAACCAATTAGATGACAAATATTAGTTATGAATCTCATATCTTGTTAACACATTTTTTTTGGATATATTTACCTCCCAAAATTGAGCCAAACAAAACGTAAGCAAAAATATTGACAATGGCTACATATATAGTATGTACCCATGTTGTATTTTCGTACCAATAGGTGTTATACAGAAAAGACTGATGATCCGAGACAAATATAACGTGCAAGTTTCGGGGATAACATAAAATAATGCTGTTTCTTAATAAAACCCATAATATTCTCAAATCTTGCACCTGCAGGAAATATCCAGTTGAATCAAATCAATGTATGGTATAATCACCCACAGCAGAGTGATAGCAATGTCTAGGGATCTTTAGCAAAATATGTTCTCAATCGAATCTCGGAGTATCTCACTCAGTATTGAACCACCTTATTCAAATAAGAGTGATTAATGTAAGCTGTTAAACTTGCTTCATAAATATTAGAAATTAAATAAAGTTAATTAAAAAAGTTTTGAAATAAGATCGATTTGAAATTCCATAAACACTGCAATTTATATATATAATTACAAAACATTAACGTATGTTTTTCCACTCGGACTGTTTGTATGTTCATTTCATGTTCACTAACTTGGTTACTTGGTTGCTGAATATTTTCCTCTCTAACATATCCAAAGAATATTTCAATACATTGAACATAATCCTATTTACTGGAACAGATGTTATATTTAATTAACAAGGAGACAAACCAATAATGTGAATAATATGTAAATAATAAATAAATTTAAATTGATTTGATTCTGTTAATAAATCATAATAATATTAGGTCATGACCTTGGCACAGATGCATATTCATATCAAGCATAAAAATGTTGTTATGGTAACTAAATCAACAATATTATAATAAGTCAACAACACTACAATGGCATATTTCTCTTCAAATATTTATAATAATTTATATCTTAGCCAGTTGACTGCTGATGACAACACTCTGAATGGTGTTTTATATATTGTACCAAGCAATATAATGTATGGAACACAGACACAAAAATTACATTCATACATTGATAACCAAGATATATGTTACCATACACTAAGATTTTGTGTTAAGTTACCTCCCTTTTGAAACTAAATGTAGAACTCTTCTTGAAAGGAGGTACAATGTCAGTTAGGTAGCATATACCTTAAACTATTACATTACATATCATTCCAGTTTTATGTCAGTGTTTCTTCAGCAGCTCAATAAACATGAACTATTTTGAAATATAATTCACTGCTACAGGTAATATTATATATTTTTCTTAATTTTGAAATTATGGTTTTAAATCTCTAAAACAAATGATACGATGATGCTTATAAATCATCATGAATGGTCTGTCAGCAATATTATTTACTCTTTGGACGATAAGTTGAAGGATTTAAAAACGATATTATTTGCCTATCTATTATGTATTTTTAGTTAAACAATTTCCCTTCTCACAAGCTTCATCTTTCAATATCAAATATTTGATTAAGTGTTATTTACAAATTAATGTAAAGGTACGCCTTCATCTACTTTAATTTGATGAAAATGGAGAAAAGTGTATAAATTGTTGGAATATGCAGCAAGAATTTGAGAATAAAAGGAGTGTCTTTTTCTTGTTTAACAACAAAAAGAAATTTAAAAATCTGAAAATGTTGTAAGTGAAAATGCAACAAAATGAATAATGAAAATCACAAAAGGTAGAATTTGTTTAGTTAACACAGTGTTGGGTTTATATAGAAAGCGCTACATGCCCGGTACATGTGCTACAGTATATATGGTGGTAGCAGGCCTATAGATACTGCCATTCCAACAACTACTATTATACACATATATGTAGGACCTTACCGTGACAGTAGAACTTTTCGCATGTGAACTATTTAAAAGATTTACAATCTAGATATTTTGACGCTAGTGATACAGCTGCAATATCTATTTTACAGTCACTTGTGCTTTCATCATTTTCAGTGTCACTCCCTTCACATGTACTTTCATACACTACAAACAGTGCAGAAATCTCCAGGTATTGTAATTCACAAGATATCAACACTATTGAAGCAAACACAAAGATTGGACACACCTTCAATACTTTATAGATACACACTTCCCAAGCTGTACTTAAACAGTATATACCAAAGTATCGCATGGCTATATACTGGTATATTAAAACGTGTGCAAGAGTTACTTCCCTTGACAAATCTAGACGATGTTAACGCATTCACCCCTGAAATTTCATAATGGACTATTCCAACCTTTGAATTGGAAGGGTTCAAATGTGTCCTCAGGGGTCGATGAATTAATGCATGTGGTCTAATAGCCTATTAATTATAATCTGCAGTACAGCTTCAATATAGTTTATATAGGGAAAAAAATATTTAAGAAAACTATACAAATATTGATGGATTTCCTCAAAATATACAAAAAAAATAACATTATAATGCTAGTTATGGTCAGTGGTTGGCAATTAAACCAATAATTTACATTATTACACCAACCAGCTTGTCCAATTCCTGTTACCTTCTTTTGAGTAATAACTTTTACAAGATAACAAAGTTTTTAAAGTTAGAGTTTACCCCAATCAAGGTTTCAAAACAACACATAGATATTTACTATTTACCTGCAGTATCTGAATTATTGAATTGTGAAAAGAAATTCTTGAAGACACTGAATTTAAAACAATTTGGCCCTATATTCTAACTTTTCACTTATTATTGACCTGAATACAGATATTCCCTTATATTTCGGATATTGAAGTGTTCATGTGAAGTCGGTGCAAACAAGATTCCTGAAACAGCCTAACGTCATCAAAGTGTTTGCTTCTAGTGGTTATCTTATGTTATTCGAGGCGGGAGGAAAAAATTCAAATGACACTTTTCAAACTAGCTGCCCCTTTCTTTTGACAATATATCGGGATACGTATCGCAATACATTCCTTGTGTATTGCAAGGCATCTTGATACACTCCAGGATTAGCTACACCTAAACAGATCAGGTTGTAAAATATTATGTTACTTTATAGATTAGTTTACAAAAAGTCTTAAAAAACTTAATCTAGATATGACACACACTGACAGCTAGCTTGACTGAAGTGGTTAAATTAATATTCTCAACACAAACATTCAGCATAACTTTCTATAATGTAGACATCTATCACTTATCTCAATTGCTCTAGAAAAATTTGCACTGGCACAATGCAACATATTTATTACATGTACATTTCATACATCCACATTCAACTATTACATAAACACGGGATAGTTAACGGTACCATATGTTACCGGTGGTAAGCCCACGGTTGATATTTAGCCCACCCCATTCTAAAAATATTTTACAAATAAGGTTATTTCTCAATTAACCTACAAGTTTTAACAGTTTAATGCATGTATTTTGCACCTGATATCCTTTTTTTGGCGAATAAACTATTGTTCAAAACGAAATAATTTCTAAAAAAGATCCTTAAAATGTAGAATGTTCTTATATCTTAAATGAATGTCTGGGAACCAAGAGTTTTTTTAACAACCTTAAATTCAGTTCAAAAGTATCTCCTCTTTTATGTCTGCTCTGGCACAGAAAGTGCTGATTTTTGAAAACAAGTGCCCCCCTTCAAACCCCCCCCCCCCAAAGATTATCACCCCCAAAGATTATCAAAATGATTTGGGACAGAGCAACTTCTTTCCTAAGATAGTATGTCTTATATTAAAATAGATACGTATTAGATATATATTAAAATCTTACCATTACTGATATACCTGTAGGTGGTCATACAATTTACCTTTTAAAGTAATTTCTGGTAATAAGGGTCTCATTCACCCCTCTTCACACATTTGAACTCTTCCAATTTAAAGGTTGGAATGGTTCATTATGAAATTTCAGGGGTGAATGAGTTTGAAAGTGTCTGTGCGACCACTGTATACAAGGAAACATGTATATTCCCACAGTGTTAACGTGTGGGACATAAAATATCTGTCAGATTTGACAATACACGCAGCATATTTGGTAGTTTTCATTAGAAATGGGATTTCAGCTTTGTTGGATTGGACTATATGTATTTTCTAAATAATAAATGAAGCATGCAAATACAGTGTCGGTCACATCTACATACAATCTTCAGAATCTTTCCCACATGTCTAATTTATGACAAGTACTTGATTTGATGCTGAAGAAAAATCTATATGTACAAATTTCAATTCAAATTAATCCAATTTCATGAAAGTTTCTAAAAAAAGTGGAGCTGAACTTTCATGATTTTGTACAATATTTGAAAATAATCATATGGAGGTTTATGTGAATAAGTTAAGAGAAAAATAACCTTGACCAGAAAATGAATATGAGAAATTGAAACCTTAAAAGTGGAGTTTTAAATGTATAATGCATGGCAATAAGCAGTTAAAACCAGAGAGCCAAGGTAAAAATCAAAGACATGGGGGACCTGGAAAGTCAAAAAATGTACAACAGGCTACGATTGTTGAATGACAAGAACTGGCAATGTGTTAAGTGGCACATAATCAGGTGACAAACAGGTGGTGAAGCTTTAGACAGCTTCCTGATCAGCCATGATCGAGCTACGAAGGTGCAAATCCATCATAATCTGGCGACTAATGTCAGAGTCTGTCATGATTTGGCTACAAGTGTCCGACCCCGAAACATTGGGCCATGCAACATGATTGGGGTTCTAACATGGTGGATTCCAGTGATGGACAATGTCTTTATATATATATTAATGAACCTCTTATCACAGAGGAATCAATTCACTATCTCCCACGACCTACCCAATTTAGGTCACAAACAACATCAGAATCTAACATCAGGTCAAAGGTCAAACTAATCACAGGTTCAAGGTCAAAGTTTACAAATATCACATGATGTAAGTGAAGCTACAATGAAACTTCACTCTCACAACTTTTTTTTCCTTTAAACAATGCCAAATATTGCAAATTAAAAACAAAATGAAACAAAATCACCATTTCTTATGTTTTTCTCTACCTAAGAATGTTTAGTATGCAATCCAGACAGAATGAAATGGTCGTCAAACCAGTTTTCAGGTCAAATAAACGAAAATCCTATTTTACACTAGTCCGCAGTCAAGACTTTCACTTAATGACCTTCTGAACTTGCCTTGTACCATGACAACAAATCCATGTCTTATATATCACAGTGACACCAAAAATGGTCCAGAATACCAAATTTGGTACATGGTGACCAAATATGGTGTCGAGTTGGGACTTGTGCCAGATGGAAATGAAATCTAGTGGATTGAATTAAACACAAAAGACTAAATTAATGTTCGAGGTTCATTCATTGCACAAAGTCTATGAACTGTGGCAGAACCCAGGCCTGTCACGGTCGTCCTCGACAACGACCAAAAACAGCACCTAGTGGCGATCCCTGGTACTAGGAGTCGCAGCCAAACACTTAATGGCTTGTGTGCCTTCACAGATGTTTTTCCTTTGTATCACAAAACAGTTGTCTGTCCAGCACAGCCATGTGTCATGTGATTTCCTGACCTCAGTGGAGGTCACGACCTGACTTCGTGGGGAGGTCAGTGGTTAAAGGTCATGTGGGGTCAGTAGATGTCGGGACACACGCTCCAGTCCTGTTTCTGTTTACACTCCCAGTAATTATTGTTGAATGTGTGTATCAGACTTCCCGTCGCCTCGTCCGTTTTCTTCTCGAACCAAACCGGTTTATGAACCTCTGGCTCTTCACCTGACAGATAAAACATTACTATGTGATAATTGGTTATACTTATACAAAATACTCCATAATCATTCATATATATATACTTACATTTGCTCTGCATCCTTCCATTGCAATGCATTGAGAAGGCAAATGTTGTTGTGAGACTATAGGAATGTTAAACTCACGAAAAACAGATGAAATATTCAAATGACATATATAGAGTATGTACACCATTGTACACCAGCTTGTGTTTTTCAAATGAGCTGTGTATTGTTTCGAGACTTTAGAAAATAGAAAAACATTGATTTTGAGATGTTGAATTTCAGTGAATATTGAAATTTCTGTTGGTCACTAACGCAAGCAAATGTCAGGTCAATTATCGCTACTGAGTACAACTCTTGTGCCAACACAAACCGGTGTAAATAAACCCTTCATTATAGCATGTGTACAATATATATCTCCTCCTTAATTCGAGGCAGTTACCCATGTTCCACTGGACTTACAATGCCCTCATACTTAACACCTTTCAATTGTAATACACTCATGCTTAGCGTTTTAACATCATAGTTCCTACTTTCCACATGGCTGTCTTTACTTTTTACAATATAGGAACAAATCCAAAAATAAATGTAAATGGTTTTTACAGTATGAAACAGTAGGAGGTATGAAATGTTTCCCGAGCTCTTTTAGTTTTGTCCTTTTTCTCACTGGAGGTTATTGAAATTAATTCTGAAGTTAAGGTTCACAGAGCAGTGGTTAAAATTGCATTCTTAGCTTTTAAGATACCTTGGTAACAGTCTATCAAAAAAAAGAGAAAATAAAAATTTAAGTTTCCTAGATTCAATTTTTTTGTCGATGAACAAGACGTTCACAACTTCATGTAAATGTTTTAAAATCCACATTTTTTTCCCTTAGGAGACCTCATATTTTCAGAAATGCACTTAACGTCAATTGTGTTATCTCATTGATCTATTTCCTATCTTAGGCCAAACAAAAAATATTTAGTGTTTCCAGTAACCCTTCCTACCCTAGTTTTTTGTGCCTGCCCTCAACTTGTTAAGGCAATTTTCAAGGAAGCACTGTTAAAGTCAAGATCACTGTCCTATATAAACCATATAAAACTATTTGTTAGAATAAAATTTGTTACCTACCTACCTTTCCAAAATTTTTCCAACATGTTACAGGAAAAACACATAATTTATTTACCTCACCTTAATGACCCAATTAATCTGATTGACCTACTTTGTTTGATTGACCTACTTTATATCTAATAAACCTATTTCCAATCTTAATGACCCAATTAATCTGATTGACCTACTTAATCTGATTGACCTGCTTTATATCATAACGACCTTCCTCTCGTTAGTGTAACAATTAACCTACTTAATAAACTAACAACCTATTTCCTATCTTAATGACCTACTTTACCTGATTGACCTACTTCATATCTTAACCTCTCGTTAGTGTGTTACTGACTTACCCTTCTTTAAAGCTTCCTCTGCCTCTGCCTCGCGCCGTTTACGTGTGGCTCGTTGTTTTTCCTCCAGCCTCAATTTGCTCTTATTTGCCTCATCCCAGTTACCATCCTCCATGAGTCGCTGATCTGGACGTCGGCGACAGTCTGTGGGCGCTACACCTTCCTCAAACTCGTTCAGTTCTATAGCCAGGCGTGTGAAGTGGTACATTCGCTCCGAACCAGATCTAAGGGAAGATAATTCAGTTTAGGACCGACAATCACGAACTCTTGGGATACATTCGTCTATCCCAGTTGAAACAGTTCAGGTGGTGCAGAAATGTTCCACGATAAACTAACGCACTTGGACCAAACTTAAGGCAGAGCTAAAAAAGGCAGTTTTGTAGAATACATAACAACATATCAAGAATAATATGTCCTTCTTTCAAGCATCCACTAAATTATTTAACATAACTTGAAATCTACATGAACTATGAACTATTCTGACATTTAGCCCCACCCAATTGTTTTAACCCCAAATGGCATCTTCATAACTTTAAAACACTATGTAACTATGAAATAGTGAAGACAATTAAGACAGTCTTGTTTTAAAATGTCAAAGGCATCCCTGCCAGCCTTTTAAAATTTCTTTGGGTAGAAAGACATGTCGAAATCCAAAAATGTAAAAAAAGGGGGATTTTTTCTTGTTTGATAAAGTAAGCGTAAAAATATCATAGTTTAAACTTTTCTTATATGCAATGAATTTATTCAATTTGAGCAGAAAGTAATTATATAAGATGTACAGAATTCAGCTCATTTTTAAGTAAAAAGAAGGTAGGATGAAAAATTTAGAATCTCCCTCAAAATTGGGGAAATTGGCATAAATAAAAACTATAAAAGATCATTTAGGAAAATTTCCTCAAAAATAAAAATGAGTGATTGCCATTTCTCCCATCCTTCACAGGTGTGTCTCCCATTTTAGCCAGGAAAGATAAGCTTGCCACCCCCTAGGGGGAGATAGCCTCATGCCGATTATTATGTGTTCAATTGCGACGTCATTAAAATGCGTCACTGGTAATTGTGACGTTATCAAAAGTGAATGAATATTTTCATACCCCACATGTGTTTTTGTTTACACTACTGTTGGTGGAGTTGTGACTGAAATAATAGGATGGGAGAAAAACAATCATCCCCTACCTTGAGGGTGTGACAGAGAAATCTCCATCCTCTGGGTGATTTTTTTTGGTTGTCTAACACTCAGCAGAGCCTCGGGTTGGACATCAAAAAACATCACCCCTTAAATTCAGGATGGGAAAACCGCTGTTCTCTATATATTTCACCATCCCAATGTTTTTACTTCTGTATCACAATGTAGAGTTATTATCATACTTACGGTAGGAGGCGCCGTTCCCAGATAACGAAAGGCGCCCCTGTCTCAAACATGGGCTTGCCCTTGTTGGACTCGTCCACATGTAGGACCTGGGCGCCCTCCATCTTACGGTCCCACGTCCCAGTTAAAACCCACTTGGCCTTTCCTCCCGCGTCTGTCACCACACCCGTCACCTAGAGAGACAACAACACATTACAATGTTATGTTAACCCTCTTTCACCACTGTAGACCATAATGGACTCGCCCAGATCAATGCATGGTAGAGTCTAATAAAGTTACATAGGGGTGAAAGGGTTAAACAAAAGATTTCACCGTACCACACATTACCGTCTATTTACTTTTCATATTTTACTTGTTGCTTGCTCCCCATTCTATATGATATTTATTAAAAATATGAAAGTTTGTGTGAGAAATTTTTGATGATATATATGGGATTGTTACAAAAAAGTGTATAACTTTTATAATATTTGCCCTCCATCATGAGGTTGAATTTATAATAATGGCAAAAATATCAGCAAACGGCATATACTATAGATAACTCCTCCGATGTGAAAGTTGTTGGAATTTTACAGAGAACTATTTCACTGGGGATAAAACAAAATTTCCCAGTATACATCGGAACGGCTGCAGGACATACCTTCCTGGGTTTCTCCCGAGAGAAATAACTATAGGCCGAATATTTCAGATGACATTTGTCATTATTCCTGTGGTTTGTGATGTCCATTTCGCCATGGTGGTCCACCCACAGCTTGCCGACGATGATGTTGTGGACCGTAGTGGTCACTTTCCTCCACGTGTAATGGTTGCCGGACTTCTTAAACAACAGGTGTGCAATTCCTGAAATGTACCAAAACATCTGCATTGAACACCGGGGCCGGGTTGTGCAGTGGATGGTGTACTCGACAAGACAGTTGGGTTAGATTTTACTGATCAGACATCATAAAGTATTCGATCCCCTGCCTGTAATGTTTTCTCCCAGTACTCAATTTTTATCCCACGTTATGACCCGCTTGCATTTTATAAACAATAGGTCACTTGAGCCTTTTGGCTCAGGTGACCTAATTATCATCATGATGTACAACTTTTTCACAAGAATCAGAAATTTAACTAGTGTGTGAGAGTATGTATATGTCATGTTAATGTATTGTAATTGTGGAAAAAAAGACTTGAAACTACAACAAGAGGCCCAGGGGCCTTAATAGCTCACCTGGTATTTTATTTTTCAATTTAAAACCTGCTGAGTACCATTCAGGTTTATCAAAGGAGTACAAGTAACAAAGTTGCATCTTCCATTTATAAATATTCAATTCCCTTTGCCCAAAGATTCTCTAAAACAAGTTTGGTTAGGTTAAAATCCCTTCAACGGTACAGAAGGAGAAGGATCTTTAATGTTTTCCTCTATTTCCCCTAATGGGCCCCACTAATCTGCCCCAAAGAAGGGGAATCCACACACCTCAGTTTAAACAAAATTGATTCTTTTCTCCCTAAGCATGCTTCAGACTGCATTTGGTTTAAATCCCTTCACTTGTATAGTAGGAGAAAAAAAATCCTCTATTTCCCCTATTGGGCCCCGCTCCTATGCCGCCAGAAGGCCCACACCCTCCGTTTATACAAACTTGAGTCTCCTTTGTCCAAAGATGCTCTAGGACAAATTTGGTCAAAATCCTTCAATTGGTTGAGGAGAAGATTTTTAAAGATTTACCTATTTTCCCCTATTTGGCCCCGTCCCTCTGCCCCCAGGGGGACCATACCCTCCGTTCATACAAAACTGAGAACCCTTTGGCCAATGATGCTCCAGACCAAATTTGGTCAAAATCCCTTCATCGGTACAAAAGGAGAAGGATATTTGATGTTTTCCTCTATTTCCCCTAATGGGCCCCACCCATCTGCCCTTAGAAGGAGGCCCACACACCTCAGTTTATACAAAATTGATTCTTTTGTCCCTAATCATGCTTCAGACTGCATTTGGTTAAAATCCCTTCACTTGTATAGCAGGAGAAAAAAAATCCTCTATTTCCCCTATTGGGCCCCGCCCCTCCGCCCCCAGAGGGGCCACACCCTCCGTTTATACAAACTTGAGTCTTCTTTGTCCAAAGATGCTCTAGGACAAATTTGGTCAAAATCCTTCAATTGGTTGAGAAGAAGAACATTTTTAAAGATTTACCTTTTTTCCCCTTATTTAGCCCCGCCCCTCTGCCCCGAGGGGGGGCTATACCGTCCGTTTATACAAAACTGAGAACCCTTTGGCCAATGATGCTCCTGACCAAGCTTCAGACTGCATTTGGTTTAAATCCCTTCACTTGTATAGTAGGAGAGAAAAAATCCTCTACTTCCCCTATTTGGCCCCGCCCCTCTGCCCCCAAAGAGGCCACACCCTCCGTTTATACAAACTTGAGTCTCCTTTGTCCAAAGATGCTCTAGGACAAATTTGGTCAAAATCCTTCTATTGGTTGAGAAGAAGAAGATTTTTAAAGATTTACCTATTTTCCCCCTATTTGGCCCCGCCCCTCTGCCCCCAGGGGGGTTATACCCTCCGTTTATACAAAACTGAGAACCCTTTGGCCAATGATGCTCCTGACCAAATTTGGTCAAAATCCTCTGAGCCATTCAGGACAAGTAGCATTTTAAAGGAAAAAGTTGCCGGACGCCGGACGCCGGACGCCGGACGCCGGACCATGGGATAAGCTCACTTGGCCCTTGGGGCCAGGTGAGCTAAAAAATAAAAGCTAAAAGCTAAAATTAAACTAGAATCAACCTACAGCAAAAAAACAATGATCTTGAGACCAACTCTCACTCTAACCTACAGCTTTGAATAAAATGCAATTCTATATGTCGGTGAAAATAAAAATCTTTAAATCTTACACTGCCCTATTTCAAAATTGTCAACATGCAACTCAGGAAATTGCTCTGTGATACGGCTTCAATTAAACATTTGTGAATACACAAGTTCACATCAAATATTGGGTCAGAACGCTTGGTGGCAATCAGATCTGAGGACAAACTGTCTCTCACTCTTTAAAACTCTAATCCTCAATTTCAACTCTAGGATCACATAAAAGCAAACAGTCGTGTCTCTGCTGTACAGGGCTTACCCAATGGGATGATCTGTAGGTATTTGCCCCTGAACTTGCTTGTCATGCTGAACTCTTGCCAGAGTATCCATTCTTTGCCTTCTGTGTGCTGGGCGGCCGTCGGCGGATGATGCATCACCTGCTCCGCAACTGTGCGCCAGCCGAGATCATCCATGCGGTCGCACTCGTAAGTTTCACCAAGGAGTGGGTTGAATGGTTTGGTGCTACGGTTTATGGTGGTGGAGAAGGATGAGATTGTGAAAGCTGCGACGTGGACAAGTTGTTCAGCCGAGTCCTCACAGGCACCTGCCTTGTCGAGAATGCTGGAGTACTCGAACTCCTCAGTCAGTCTTTGTAGCATGGACAAGGGCTCGTTGAAGTTAACCTGAAAATGAAGACAGAGAGGAATTGGTTCAAAGATAGCTGTTTAAAAACCAGACTAGAGTTTAGTTATGAGGACTGATGAGATCGTTCGATTTAATTATATGAATACTAATTTTTTTGAGCAACTTGAAAAAACTTTTCGAATATTCCAGAAGATGTTTTTCAGTGCAATAGTATTTACCATCGATACTCAAAACACCTAAAATTTGTACCAAAAGGCTTGAATATATTTTTTTTAATTACGACTAGAACTTTGACAGGTCAGCAAGGGCCCAACCATGTGCATTCAAATGAAGCTTAAGTAGTGAATTCGAAGAGGTCATTATCATTTGAGGCCCCAGACGGGATACTAGAAGTTTTTAGCAAAAAAAAAATTCTGATCGATCGGTTGGGATTTTGTTACAAAATCTTAACCCAATCTCACTCAGTTACAGGTAATGGATTTTATTAATCTCAGTCTCTGGCTAAGATTCTGTAACATCCCAACCTCTGGTCACGCCTTGGTTGGGATTATGTTACTGAATCTTAGCTTTCGACTGAGATAACTCAATTTCGCTCTGAACACAGTACAGGTAATAGATTTTATTATTCGTCTCACTGAACACAGTAAAGGTAATAGATTTTATTATTCGCCTCACTGACAGAAATTACTCACAGGCATGGGTATTTTGGAGAGTTCCTTGCCGATACAATTCTTCATGATGCTCCACAAGTTTAGGCTGTAGTTTGGCCTTAGTGGTATGAGGGGTCGACGTGACCCTCGACTCCCTAGGGAGTCGGATGTCAACTGCCGTTCAGGGCCCTTCCTTGTCCCGGATTTCCCACTACCTTGGCTCTATAACAAAGAGACTTGTGTATACATTCACATATTTACATTTTTAAAAGTCACAACACTTTTTACCGTAAAAATTAAACAAATAGTACAAAATTGAAATCTGAAGGCAAAGTTCAAATGGAAAACAACAAGACATAAACAAAAGTAAATGGAGTTTTGCATAGATATACTTCCCCTTCTCTCTCCTCCCTAAACTTTGCTTTGCTTGTGACCTATGACTTTTTTACCTCGACAGATGACCACATATAAATCTAATCAGGTGTAAAAGAACTCAATACTACCATACTTTGGTGTAAATATAAACTTAAGTTGTTGAGGGATTTATGAAATTTCGTGCAGACAAACTTTTCACTTCAAAAGTGGAAACGTGTGATCTTTGCTCAGGACCTATGCCCTTTTTACCTTAACAGATGACCACCATAATCTAAACAGGGTGCAGAATTAAATATCGTCATACTTTGGCATAAAAATAGGAACAAAATGTTTTTTTGGATTTCTGGAGAATCTTTGTAAACAAGCTTTAAGCTCTGGACACACACAAAGAGCAATTACTAACCTCCCACCACCACCTCACTTAGCAAGGGTATAAAAAAAAAGAAATAATATTCAATATCCAATATCAGGGTATCAAAATATGGGATATAAGATTGTACCACTGTGTCGCCGTCTGTGTTGATGTGGGAGTACACCCTAGCCTCCTGTGCGTCACGATCATCGTCGTTATCACTGCTCGCACTGCTGCGGTCGTCGGGTATAATCTGGCTGTCGACACTCATATCACTAATGGTCCTCCTGTCAAACAAAGGTCAAATGTGAAAGGTCATACACAGATCAAAGGTGAGGAGGTAAGGTTAAAGGTCATTCCATCAAACAAAGGTCAAATGTGAAAGGTCTAGCATATATCTAAGGTGAAGAGATAAGGTTAAAGGTCCTCCTGTCAAACAGAGGTCAAATATGAAAGGTCATACACAGATCTAAGGTGAAGATGTTAGGTTAAAGGTAGTGATGTTCCGATTAATGGATTTTGTTAATTATCAATTAAGCATTGAACTGTTTTGTATGGTATTTAGGATCTATTTGAATGACACAGCTTTGTTAGTGAACAACATAATGCGCGCTAGGGCATTATGATTTGTTTGCTTGCAAAGCCGTCATAATGAGGTAAACAACGTCGTCGTGGCAGTCATGGCAAACACTCAAGCCCGACGTAAAAACGGCCGTTTTAAATGTAAACTAAATGCATTAACTGACAATAATAACAACAACGATGTCCAATATCAACTGCTAGACCACGACTATGCGACGAAACAAAGTGACACTCGTTCACACATTGAAGAGACGCTGACTACTGAGGCCCCTACTACTGACAATTTGACAGATGAGCCGACACCGACATCCGATGAGGATCCCTCCAGTACTAGTGATCTTAAATACGCAAATAACTTTTTAACCTGGTCGCAGGGTAGACGAGTGGTTGAACTTGCGGTGTTATCTCGACCAGAAAGGTTGTACGGAATGCGGTTCTAGGCTACGGTTGTGCAATACCCAAAAGGAAAGAAATTTTGGCCTGGGAAGTATTTTATACATACAAGTAAGTGTATCAAATGACATCACAATAGTCAGGATTATATTTTATATTTGTTATTATATGCCCAATAAGCCTATAATTTCAAGTTCATCTTTTTATATTACATACAACAGTGTTATTTTTACAATGTGATATTTTTATACCACAATATTGTATGTTGTTATTTGTTCATAATGTAAAAGTTCATTTTTGTAGTATAGTGTGATATTTGTTATATATGTTGTTATCTGTATATAATGACAAAGGTTATTATTGCTATATAGTGTGATATTTTTTATATCACAATATGGTATGTTATCTGTACATACAAATATGTAATGTGAAAGTTTATTATTGTTTTGTTCAGAATGTAAAAGTTTATTATTGTTGTATAGTGTGATTTTCTATATCACAACATAGTATGTTATTTGTTCAGTATGTAGAAATGTATTATTGTTGTGTAAAGTATGTGGAATTTAGTTATTGTTGTTCATCGGGACATTTTTGCTATGACATAGTAAAGGACATTGTTTGTTATAATGTTATTCATACACAATGTGTAATTTTTTTTATATTGGTTATTTCATTTTAAGTAATTTTATTGGTTGGTAATGCCTACTGTATTATATTTGTATACAAAAAGTGCTATATTGTATGTTGTAAATTGTATATTATTGGTACAAATGTAAGAGTTTTCTTCCTTTTTTTTTTTTTTTTTGTATCTTTATATTTTTTTTGTAGAATGATAAGTAAGTCTGCAAAATATTTATTTTGTTTTACCTATATTTTCTTTTGTCCTAAACGTGTTGCATTGGCACTCGGAATTGTATTGATTCATGTTATGGGCACTTCTGTTTGTTTTAGCAGATTACTGTTAGAAAATTACTATTTTTTGTGTGTTTTGTTCATCAATATTGACATTGTTATTATTTTGTATGTGTTATATTTCTAATAAACCATTGTTGCATCAAATAATATATATTGTGTTTCATTTTGTTCAATCAAAAAAGAAAAAAAATCGAAATTTCACAATTTCCCAAAAAATCCAAAGAAACTCTCGCAAGGTATGTTCAGAAAAGATTTGCTTATGCAATAGCGATGCAGTAGAAAACAAGAATTCCACGAAAGTGGATGTGTCACATGCGCAGGAAGCTGGGAGATTACGAAGAAAAAGATACACTTTTCATTTCAAGAAATAATGTTAAAAGTTATTTACTATTTATAGTAACATTGACCTTGACCTTTGACCTTCGGACCTGAAAAGCAATCCAAAGCAAGCACTTTTGGTAAGGAAGCACTGCATGAAGTTTGAGTTTGATCGGCACAAGGAAACTCAAGTTATCGCACGAAAATCTCTGTGTGGATGCCGCCGCCGCCGACACCGACAAAGCAATACCTAGGTGTCACCAGCTTTTCGCAGGCGACACAAAAAAACCCAATGCCTAATTACATTTTTTAGGCGGAGGGATGGGGATTCTTAAAGCTGCTATGTAGGCATCATCACTTTTTATTGTAAGCTACATTGAAAACTTTCACTTTCATAACAAAGAACATCTTTGCAGTGTTGTTTTCCGATTGAAAGAAGTTTAGCTCCATTTTACCAACTTTATTGAGAAACCTTACCTGTGCGAGGGTTGTTTGTTTGGTAAAGCTACATCAAACTCATTTGCATGGTAGTCTAGCGCATCAAAAAAGTCATCCTCATCTGATCCAGGAACTAGAAAACAGAAAAACATAAAATTTGTATAGGAGAATAAAATTAATGTATTACCTAAATACATAAACAGTAAATTCAAACTCACTCTTATCATTTCTGAAATATACTGATTTTTTTTTTTTTTCATTTTTTAGCGCATTAAATTTATAACGCACAATGGATGGTCAAGAGGAGTTTTTACATGTAGGTGTGCATGTATCATAGTGAAGGCAGATATTCTAAAAATAATATGTAACGACACCTTAACATTCCTTCCATAAACATATATTTTTACAAACTCAAATTGATGTTTGCAAAAGTTGGTAATAGGAAACAATTAAGCTTTCACTTGTTGGAATTTCGGCATAAGAAGCCTGTACTTTATGATTAACACCTGATCAACAAAGTCCCTATTTCGATTATCGAGACAAATTTTCTTATTTTCAAAGCAACAGGCCCAATTCCTGAAGTAACGAAAAATAGCCCTGCATTCCGTATTGAAATCCTCACCCTTATCCTTATTGTCCGAGGCGTTTGCGTGCATTGATCGTTTGGCCTGAGTTTCCAGCGAAACTTGATCCTTAGCCAGTTGTTCCACCATTTCTTCCAGCTTCATCCTCTGTTCCTGCTCAAAGTGTACAATCTTTTGTAGGCGCTTCACCTGTCCTTGAGCTGATTCTAGGTATTCTGAACAAGCCTGTTATAAAACGATGCTTCATAAGACATTGATTTTACGTCATATTTGATCAGGATCCTTTCTACTCCTTAGGTACCTCTACTAGTGATGGGCAATCTGTTTAAAATCATAATCGATAATCAGTTTGTAATCGGAAGTTGTAAACTGATCAATTGCATATAATCGGTTTATAGTATTTTGGTGCTGAATACCCAAATAAAGTGAGAGCACTATGTCTATAACATGAATAAACCGAGTCATTCACTACACATTAGGTTTCGTTCTATTATAATTAATGGTTAATTAACCGGTTATCAAGCAACTTCAATACATTTTTATCGATCATTTAGTATAAATTATATAAGAATATATGATTTTCAAAGCATGCTTTACATAGAAGACATTTAAATACTTTGATTTTAATGATGAACTGATTATATTGATAATGGATTTTGTAATCAATTGTCGGAATCGGAAAGGGAAAACCGATTGGTTTACGATTATAATTGATCATCAGCCCTTTACTAACATCTACTACTGCCTAGTATACTGGATGAGATTTTCATTCTGACTACTGTCTTCCCCAATTGTGTAGTACACAGAACAAAATCTGAAAGACTCTTTTCACCGTTGTATGAGTATATGGAGGACAATATTTCAGAGACTCCCTTCCCCACTGTCTAGTATGGTTTCCCAATTCACATTTTATTGCAAAAATTGATTAAAGAATGGGCAAAAAATATTAAAAAAATTAACATAAAAATAATACATTACAAAAATACCACTCTGCATTTACCTGGAAATTGCATGAGGGTACGATAAGATTAAAGAAAGGACAATGATACTTGTGGTCGACGCAGTAGATTTGCATCTTCGCAACAACGATAAGTCGCAGAATTATAGCATCCACTGAAAGTGAAGCCCCTCAGGAAGTTTCTGTATTATCTGGGAACTTTTGCCCAATAAAACCTTTGCCTTTGCCCTTCACCGGTGAATCTGTCAATTTTGCCTTTTTAAGTGTGATACCCAAATGTAGTGTGCTTCATACAAGTTATATTCAATTCCATGATGAATTCATTGCAGAGGGCAAAAATGGTGAATATTGCAAGCTGCAAAAACTTTGTGGCATGCAGTGTTGTCAATGATGGCAAAGATATCTTCCTGTTTGACGTTTGATGTTGAAAAAGTACACAAACTGTTGGCACAGAAATGTTCAACCATGACAAAACTCTTGAAAGCAGAAAAAAACATATTTTTCAACGAAAATCAGTTATTTTGATAAGTTTAAATCTATATCAATATTTTATTTTGAATATTCCAATTCAGAATAATGCTACGTTTTTTTCAGAAGGTACAACTCAATCTAGCAAACAATAAAGAATTATCTCCCTTTAAGAATAATCAAATGCATACAACATTAAAGAATTGTTTACCACACAATAAGGTATCTTTTACCAGCTTACATTGATCATGGCATTTGATGTGATTCGAAACATGGTGGCTCGCTCGTTGACAACCTTCAGCTTGCTGCCCGCGTCCTCTGTGTTGTTTAGAGTCTCCAGCTCTGTCAGCGCCCTCTGCAGGCCACTGCCGTGCTTGGAGATGAGATCGTTACACGTGTTCATGTCCTCAAGCTTCGAGGCGAGGGTCTTGAGCATGTTCTGTAACTCATTCTTGTCTGGCTCCGGAGCCTCTTCCTCATCACTATCTGTTAATTAAAGATTTCGAATTGAATGTCGAAAAAGGGAAAAATAATATTCAGTATATTCTTCACCAGAAACTTAATAATTGTCTTATTAAATCTGTACATATATGCATAACAGGGTCGTATTGTAAACTAGACTATGTCTAAATATGTAACCCTGTAAAAATAAAAGATATTATTATTATTAACTGTTGATTAAACATTAAATTGAAGAAGGTTGGGATATATAGTCTAGGCTATATTTACTTTTTAGGTATTTTCTCCTTCTAGAATTAAATTGTATATTTCACCATTTCTCATGAATGTATTTCTCATTTAATTTGTTTAGTGTTCCTAATTCGTTAAATAATTTATTAAAATGGATTAAGTAATTTATTATGTATGGTGGTGATATGTATAGATAACAAGAATCCCAATGGACATGTTTCACTTATAGTTATCTGTCATTCATTTCATATCACTTATTTTTTATTAACATGAATAAAAATTCCATTACTTTTTACCACACCTTTTCAGTTAACACTTTTTTACCCAAAATACCCAAATTATTATAAAAAATGTTTGTTTTTTTTACAAATCACACATTAGGAATCAGTTTAAGATACAGGGTTTTATTTTGGACACTCCAGTTTCCTCGCACAATAAGACCCCACCGCACACTAATATCTGGGCCATATATCAGCTGAAATATCTTTTTTCATAATTGCTGTAAAACAAATAAAGTTGCTGCTGAAGATTTTTTTTATAACACTTCAATTATGAAATTGTATACCTGGCTCAGATTGGGCATCGTTTTTAGCCAGTTCGAGGGCAGTGACCCACTTCTGTCTCTCCACCTCCGAGGTAGCCTTCAGGTAGAAGGTCTGTGTGCCACCGTTGGAGATGACGATGGTGTTGGAATCTTCAGTGTGTATGAAGGCATTGGCCAGGTTGATTGTTCCGCGACAAGTGTGAGCCATTTCTGCCTGCGATCTAGAAAATAAAAGTTTATAAGATCAAGTTTGTATCACATCTACATGAGATCAAAATTTGTAATCTCATGGAACAATCTTTTAAGTTTAAAGGACTCGATGTATAGGGGCGCTAAGGGTCATTTCCGGCAGCGTCAGGAATTAAGAATTAGTTGTTATATTCGTAATCTGGATTAAATGAAGCACGCTAATATGCAATTTCAAATATATTCTACAAATGCTTTAGGTAGCATTGCAAAGAGAGACATAAACCTACATTTTCATAATAAAATGTGTGAATATCACCAGTTGTGCGCTATTTGGTCGGAAATTGTCCATTTTGAATGCAATTAACTAAACACTTTTCAGTTTTTGAAAGCCTCCGCATGCCATGATTAAACATTGTTATACCAGTGTTCATTCGTAGAAGGAATTTTTGTTTGTCGCATGCGGAGGCTTTCATTTCTGCATGCAAACTGTGCAAAAACACCATATTTTGACTATATCTGCAAAGAAACGCATTTTTGTTGCTATGGTAGCTATATAGGGCATCAACACATGCGCAATGGAAACAATATACACCAAGAAAGATAGCTTTAATAACTAATATGATGTTTATAACAGGAATTGGTAAATAAATTCAGGTTGAAATTTTTGTATGTTCAGTGTTATACATGTATATATATATCAATATGTAATTTTACCTTCTTGGTCAGTTTGGTTAGGTTTGTTTGTGTTTTACGTCCTATTAACAGCTAGGGTCATTTAAGGATGTGCCTGGATTTGGTGGTGGAGGAAAGCCGGAGTTCCCGGAGAAAAACCACCGACCTACGGCCAGTACCTGGCAACTGCCCCACCCCACGTAGGCCTCAAACCTGCAACCCAGTGGTGGAGGGCTAGTGGTAGCAGAATGTCAGACGCCTTAACCACTTGGCCACCGCGGCCCCTTGGTCAGTAGAATATAACACCGGATACTGTATACCGAGAAAATTTCACCCAGTCAAACTTTCGCTCTTCGCCAGCAAAAAACATATTTGCCCATGCCCAGTACGTGTTAATTTCGCCTTCACATTCAATTACTATGTCTATGATGTTGTTTACTAATGTTCGTTGTTATGATCAATTTGCCCTCGTTAGGGACGACAAAACAAAGCGAAAATTTCCCAGTATATAGCATTCTTTCACAACATATAGGCTTGTTTCAAAGAGAAATATTTGAATTTTACTTACAATAGAAATATTAATTAACACTTGAGTCTAGGATACTATAATGTTTCAAGTTCCAATTCTACTTAGCTATATATAGCTTGACACACAGAGCTAATAGATTTTCCTGTCAGGGCTGTCATTTTTTTTTCAATATGAAAATACATGTTTGCTAGAAGCATTTTCCAAAGTCTACCAATGGGCTTGTACGGATGTGAAATGATACATTCCTGAAAACTAGTTCAAAGCATATACATACTTGCAATTAAAATTGATGAATGATTCTATTCAATCTGATAAAGAACATGTTCTGTGCTATTTCGGGCATTAATATTTTAGTATTTCATTGTTTCAAGTCAAAGCTGTTTACAGTATAAACAGCATTCAGATTTACTATAAACATTAACCGTCCAGTACAAAATTCAAACCAAAATCACCCCCAAAAGCAGAATAATACCCAACATATTCAAAATCAGGAATGTCCAAACAAAACGAGAGTCAGACCAAACACATCCAAAATAAGAAATGTACAAACAAAACACATATCGGTCCAAACACATCCAAAATAAGAAATGTAAAAACTAAACACAAGTCAGACCAAACACATCCAAAATCAGGAATGTCCAAACAAAACACATATCAGACCAAACACATCCAAAATAAGAAATGTAAAAACAAAACACAAGTCAGACCAAACACATCCAAAATAAGGAATATCCAAATAAAACACATATCGGTCCAAACACATCCAAAATAAGAAGTGTACAAACAAAACACATATCAGACCAAACACATCCAAAATCAGGAATGCACAAACAAAACACATATCGGTCCAAACACATCCAAAATCAGGAATGTAGAAATAAAACACATATCGGTCCAAACAAAAAATCTAATAGTCTTTACCATTCAATGGACAAGTGAAATGGTATGTTTATTGTAACCCCCTGAAAACAGCAGGGATCAATCTAGGTTTTAGGGGAATCTACCCTTTTTCAGATTTGGTTGGAAATTAAAATTTTGATACATTAAGGTAAAAGATATAAATGTTTTGTCCGACATATATATGTATGTGTGCAGTATATTTCAATTTATAAACAGCTTAAAATTGTAGAATTTTTGTTAAAATTATGTGAAGAAAATGTATACATGTATATGCAGTATTATGCATTTTAAACTATTGAACACCAAAAAATGTACAAAATGCTATTTTCTTTGTGAAATAGGAGAATTTTGAAGCACATAGAGGGAATTTCAAAGCACAGGAGTTTTCTTCTGTAGGGGGTAACTACCCATAAACGGTAGTGAATCAAGTCTAGATTGATTCCAGAATAGAGTTGTCTGTTCATACAGTGTAGTGAAATCTACATTTGGAATTTATAAACTTGAGCCCATGGCCAGCAAAAAATTAAACACAAACAAAACCATCAAGACAGTCAAAACATGAACTAACAGGAAACCCGGGTTAATGTTACTGTCAGTTGTCATCGGGGAGGACCATTAGTGACCAAGGGGACACAACTCTTACCCGTCATCCAAAAGATAACACATCACCAAAAGTGCTGAGGGGACAACAACTACTCACCTATGGATCCAAGCTCTAAGAAGAAGATTGACAGAGTAATGAACATTGGAATGGTAAACAGAATTAGGAAAAGCACTGGGTAGTGATGGTTATGCAGCTTATTTAAAATTTTGTGTAATAATCATGCCACTTGATCAACCATTTCAGAGTTATGGCTCAAAAATGAAGTCACTAAGGGTGGGGCCTGACCCCAGAGTCAATTCTAATATCATGTTTGCATAAATTTCTTGATGTCCAGCAATGACATGCTTATGGGGTGCAGATCTCACCTTTTAAAAGTTATATTATGAGCTCGAGGCAAGAATAAAATCCGTAGATGTGGGGCCAGACCCTAGCGTCAATACGTACTAATATCATGATTGTGTTAGACTTTTGATGCCCAGCAATGGTATATGGTTATAGGATCTCAACTGTTAGTTATGACCCATGAATAAAGTCCCTAGGGGTGAGGCCAGACCCAAGAGTCGATTCTAATATCATAATTGTGTTCATCTCGTTGACGCTCAGCAATTATATAATGACTATGGGGTGGGATTAAAACGGTTTCAAAGTTGTGGCGAAGGAACCCAGAACAAGATTTAAAATGCAAGACCTCCAATCTCCAGAAGCTTAATTATAAGGATGATCTAAGCAAAGGAACTGATTTGTTCACTGAGGACCTTATCCTGTTCTGCGTCATTCCTTCCTTTCTACAAGCCTTCCACGTGCACCCACAAACAGAAGCAAGACCCTATTATACAATCTGCATCCGTCATAGCTATATCTATAGTTGGGCCTCAAATTTAACAAGGGTGGAAAAATACATCACAGTTTAAGTCTGAGATTCAAAACAAGGACCTCACAGCTACTTTATGTGCTTATCAAAACCGAAACCGGGTACCAATGCAATGGCCTCTTGTTTTGATGAAAAAATGATTACTTAATTCACGAAATGCATAAATAAAGATAACTCAATACTTACGCCTTGTAAATACAGTTGTAAAACATGTCTCAAAATCTTTATGAATGGGTTAACGTTATATATATAGATATCACTATATATATATATAGATATCACTGTAAATATATATAGATATCACTATATATATATATAGAAGNCACTACCAACAAATAAAGGGAACGGCCATGGGTACAAAAATGGCACCTACCTATGCAACACTTGTGTTAGGTTATTTGGAAGAGAAACTCTACACCAATATAGAATGTAAATATGGTAAAGTGTTTTCAGAATATGTACAAAACAATTTTTTTAGATTTTTAGATGATTGTTTTATTGCATGGCCTTCTGATATGTGTATTGACAAATTAAGTGAGGAAATGAATTCTCTACATCCGGCTATACGCTACACAATGGAAATGGATGAACATGTTTTACCCTTTTTGGATGTTTTAGTTAAATTAGAAAATGATAATATTGCAACTGATTTGTATTCAAAGCCTACTGATGCTCATAATTACTTAGATTTTTATTCAAATCATACTAAACATATTAAAATTAATATACCTTTTAATCTCGCATCTAGAATTGTAACAATTGTAAGTGACCCCAATATGCTGGATGTGCGACTTAAAGAACTCATGTTTTTCCTGAAGTCGCAGCATTATCCGGACGAGATTATTCGTAGTGGTGTAAATAGAGCTATAGAGAAGGGACCTTTTACATCCCGTGTAGAAGCCAACGATGACCAAGGAATTATTCCTTTTGTATCTACATACAATCCACATAATTTTGCTATGTACCCTATTGTAAAAACCAAAATCGATGACTTGCAGAGAACTAGCGTGCGTATGAAAAATGTTTTAGCTAAACATAGAATTATCAATAGTAAAAGACAACCCAAAAATCTCAAAAGGCTATTGAGTTTTTCCAAGTTTGAAACGAATCAAGCTGAACTTATTGTGTCTAAATGTAATTCGCCCAGATGTGGAACATGTAAAATAATTATTGAAGGTTCTACTTTTGTTTTCAAAAATGGATTTAAATTCACTGTACGTTCTAGTATGAATTGTAAGTCGAAGAATGTTATATATGCTATAGTGTGTGTTAAATGTTTGGAATTTTATATTGGCCAAACTGGGCGTGAACTACGTCAAAGAATGACTCTTCACAAGCAACAAACAATCCATGATGACCTTAGATTTTTACAAGTGAACAAACATATTCATAACTGTGCTAACAATAACTTCAAAGTGTTCCCTATTTACCAAATGCATTCATCTGATGTGATAAAGAGGGAAGTTAAGGAGTCGGAGTTAATGAAACTGTTGAAACCCAGTCTGAATAGTTCACATTAAATTCAACGTGTCATGCTTTAAGCAATTGCTGTGCTTTAAATATTATTGTTCATATTTTATTGTTGCCGTAAATGAAACAATTTGTATCTCCTGTATTTTTTATTGTTGGTAAGATCATGAAGTTATGCATTTGTCTAAGTAAATACCTGTTTTCAAAATAAACAATCTCCTGATGAACGGGGAATCAACCCGAGAAAGGCCTAGAGACGCTATCTCTGTCTTTTGTTCTATTTTTTATAGATATCACTATATATATATATAGATATCACTATATATATATATAGATATCACTAGCCTCATGGGTTAACGATATATATATAGATATCACTAGCCTCGTGGGTTAACGTTATATATATAGATATCACTAGCCTCATGGGTTAACGTTATATCTATAGATATCACTAGCCTCCCGACTAGGAAATTCCCCTAGTTTCACATTACATTTATGTGTTGTTAACCATATGCACACGTACATATTTTAGGCATCACTTCTGTTCAGACCACAGAAGGTAGCTATATATAGCTGCCCATGAATGATAACTAAAGTTACATTGTTCAACAGAATGTCCGTCAATATCATGTTTACATCCAAAGTTTATTGTATACATGCGCTCAATGGTATAGCAAGTATACTGATGATGAGTGTTTTCGAGGTTTGTCAAACAACAGTCAGGAGTGATATTTCTGACCAGGATTAATACAAATATCGACCTACATTTTGTGACGGTTTTCGGGTACGCAGATTTGCTAACCAGATTTTATACTCATAACAAAAACTACAACCAGGTACTTGGTAACCTGATCCAATCCTAAAAATAATGTCTAGTTACATAGGAAAAACAATCCACTTCTGTGTTATTCCGGACTGGTCGATCACCAGCCACCAGTTTGTAGAGCATCCATCTAGAGTTTGAAGGGTCCCGAGTTCAAATCCTAATATCACCATGCAATTTTCTGTTCCGGTGCCTGTAACCAACCCTTATTTCCAGCGACAAGACAATTAATTTACCTCTATTGACTGAATGCTTGCGAGGGGATACAGAACCTGGGTTGTAAAGAGTCTGCAGGGAAAAAGTTTGAGGATTGAAGTGGAACTGGACTGGCTTGATTGCTGGTGACCAGGCAAAATGTAACTAAATTGGTAGAGTTTCCGTCTAGAGTCCTGGGTTTGAACCCCAGCCTTTACAAAACAATTAACACAGGGAATGTTTGCAAAAATGACAACCTGTATCACCTATTAATATAGTGTGCACATGTGACTGTATAGCTATAAATAGACCATAGAAAAAAATCATAATCACTTCATGATTGCACTGGATGATCCTAAGGACTACATACCGAAATCAATGGGGAACAAAATCTGTGATACAGTTTTTGAATTATTATCAAATTTTTATATCAGAATTGATATTTGTTATGCACAAATGTATATATACCTCATGATCATTGTGTTTTATTTAAATTCTGTTTAAGGTCAATAAGGAATGTTGCATTTTCTGTCCCTGATGTTTGAAAGAAATTTGTGTTTTCATATTATTTTATTCCACATTTCAGTAATAAAACTGTTAATGTAAATATGTACAGTTATCCAAATGTAGGTGTTTGTACCCAAGGGTTGTGCCCAACCACAGGTACCAGCCTCGTCTGTCAATACACCTACAATTATATTATAGGTGTATTGACAGACGAGGCTAGTACCGGTGGCCCAACCTGAAAAAAAGGCAGACATTTAATATTTATAATAGGACCAACATTATGTACCCACTTGTGACGGGTCAACGACTGTATGTACACGATTTAAGACACACATGTGCTGTTCCTAGACATATTTTTTTCTAATTAGTGAAGGTACGTGTATAAAGAGCATGCTTGAATCACAATCATTTCCTTTTTCAGAAAACTCTGTCCTGAACAGTAGGGTTTCCCTTCCTTGTAACCTTCCTCATCATTACCTGTAGTACGAAAGTAGACCATTTTGGAGCACAAACCACCGTTTCTGGTAACCCCTTAAATAGTTGGTCCATTTATACAGCCAGCCTCGGTACTGAGATTGATGTTGGGGCCTAGATTCAGTCATTTTAAAGCTCAAAGTTTAAGTCTTGTGACACTTGTCATTGCTTATCGAGTCATCGGAAGATGGCCGGCGACACGTCACATCCATCCACTAATTATGCCTGCGACTTCCTGATTGATAAAGTGCATGCCCTTTTCGATTATAGCACTTATATACAAGCATTTATTAATATTGATATCCAACAAAAGTATACGTAGCCAATTATATTTGTATTTTGATAAGAAACATCAGTTAAATATTACGGACTACTTTCTAGCGTATGAATAATATGTAATATGTGTCGGGGGTAAAACTCGTGTATCAAACCCAAACTAGACCCTGAACCCTACATGTATCATAAATCTCCTGGACGTCGGTCATTTGAAGTTGTTTCCTCTCAGTGAAGGTGGATACATTCTTACTATTGTGCTTTTTACCCACTTACGTTCGCATTCTGTTTAATAAAGCGATGAAATCGTGTGTTGATGTTTATAAATGATAAGTATTGCTGTAATATCATTTTTCATTAAAAGCATTGTTAGCTTAACATAACAAGTTTCTACCAGAACAATTAACCAGAGACGTATAAAGTCTCTGAATTAACTTACCAGAATATATTTTAACTGTTATAACACATAGTGATGCTATTTGGTTATGTCACGGACTTAGGCTTAGACTAATATCATTCCGTGGTTATCCATAATTAGTATGTATGAAACAAAACGCTTGAAATCAAGAACACATTTTTCAATCATTTTTCACTGAATATTTTACTTTGACTTGTTAAATCTGAATATAACACACACACACACACACACACACACACACACACACACACACACACACACTAGTGACTGTGCCTGTATTTGGTAAAAGATACAGTAATCAAAAATGAATTACACTGCATCATACAGCCGTTTCGTCTTTGTATAACTCATCGGTGATGCTGGGTACCAAAAGGTTGACCGTAACTGATGACATACCTATACAATGTAAGTAAAGCTGTTGGTAGCGACACAATCATTCATAACATGGTAAAAAAATACAGCACATACATTAGCTTTTCCTTTAATACTCATATTTAGAAATTTAGAAACTGGAATCTTTCCAAAAATTTGGAAACAAACGTTAGTCATGCCATTATTTTAAAAAAGGGATAGAGAAAATTCTGCAAATTATAGACCTGTATCATTACTTAGTTCTTTTGGGAATTTTTGTGAACGACTAGTTGTAAAATATATAAATGATTATTCATAAGAAAATTTATTGATATACTATTAGCAATCGGGTTTCCAGCCTGAGTATTCTACAGTACATCAATTAATTGAAATTTATCATACAATATGTGAAAATCTAAAAAAAAAAACCACCATCCAACATGTTTATTTTTTGCGATATATCTAAAGCGTTCGATCGTGTGTGGCACGCGGGACTGAAAGTAAAACTAGAAAAGTATGGTATTTCGGGAAAATTGTTGAATTGGTTAAATAATTATGTTAGTGATAGACAGCAATAGGTATTTGTTGGCGATACTAATTCACATGTGAAAGTTACTAATGCTTGCGTTCCATAGGGTTCGAATTTAGGTCCTTTATTATTAATTCTCTATATTAATGATATATCTGATAATCTTGAAAGCCTATCCAAATTGTTTGCAGATGACACCTCTTTATTATGTTCGGAAGAATCTCCTCATGCTATTGAAACTAAAATTACCAGTGATTTAGTTATATAGGATCCAAAATTGGGCGATAAATGGTTAGTTAAATTCAACCTCGTAAAAACGAAAGCATTACTTATTTCAAATATTGAACTTAATTTTGTTATACGTTTTAATTTTAATAATGTAAGTATTGACTTCGTGGATAATCATAGACACCCGGGAGTAGTTCTGGATAATACTTGTAAATGGAGTAACCACATTGATAATATATGCCAAACAGTTTCAAAATAGGTAAGTGTACAGATCCTATATTCTTCCAATACTAGAATACTGTTGCGAGGTATGGGATGGGTGTACTCTCGGTGACGCAGACAAACTAGAAAAACTTCAACTCGAGTCTGCACGGAAAATCACGGGTTTATCCTCTTATTCTAGCAGTGAATCTTTATACTCTGAAAGTGGATTCGAACCTCAGAGAAGGTTTAGGAGAAAACTATATTTTTTTCTACAAAATTCACAATGATTTTACACTAACTATCTTACTTCTCTACTGTCACCTCTTGTTTCAGAAAATCCACAATACAACCTCCGTGATGCCGATAATTATTCTCTGACTAATTTCCGACTTCAACTTTCAAACTCGTACGTTGAAGATACCTATCATTTCTTATTTGCTCGAAACAAATATGTAGAACAAAGATTTAAATCATATCGTGAACTGAATGATGATGGGAGTGAAGTATGATTAGTTAATTATAATATTCATTATTCAGACAATTTAACTGTAGAGAAACTCAGTCCAGCACAACAAGCTATAGTATTTTCTTTGGTGTAAGAAGACAGTCCTCAAATATGAAAATATAATAATCATTAAACTTAAATGTGGGTGGAAGCCATTTCTCTTTATGTACATGGAAATTATAGATTCACAAGAAAACAACCTATTTCAAGCTTTGTCGGAACTATTTTTGAAGATTGCTATGGTAGCCAATATAATAAAGTATACTTGACGTATAAGCACACATTCCCATAGTTCTATAGTTCTTTGACCAACTGCGCATTGTCAGTAGTAATCTTTTATTGGATTATTTACATTTGGTGTCGTGCTGTACTGAATTCAAACATTATATTTAGTCTGGCTGACTCTTGTGTCTTGAACGATCTGTAATTAAGCATTGCGTTCTGGGAGACGCCAGGGAGGTGTCTTAGACCCTCACCTTTTTGGACACATTGGGAACTTTGTTGTGCGAAATGAATACTTTCCATCATTCATTTTTGGACTGAATGTTTGCATACATATTTGAAATAACACCACTTCTTCATTCTATGAAATCTTTTGGTATACAAGAATAATAAGAATGAAAAATCCTGTATTTTACATTAAAATTTTCACAAAATGTTCGATTATCCTCACATTCTGGATGATAAATATATTATTTCAGCATTGTTTTTTCCAAAGCATAATTTTCTCCTCAGAAAAATGCTTTCAGACTGATATTCCATTTTTCTACCTCCACGCTGTAATTAGGTTAATTAGTCATCTAAATAATTAATAGAGTGATTCAAAGGAATAAGTCCAGATGTATAAGGGATTGAAAATAAATTAAATAAATACAGCAGCATAAATCTCGTAGCACTTCTAAAACGAAACTTATGAGAGAGCAGGCTGCTATGCAATTTTAAAACACAGTTGAGACGTCATCCTTTATTCTTGTTGTGCAATATGTAGCAGAATGAACAAAGAAATACCTGTAGCTGTTCAATATTTAGCCGTAACTGACCATTATTGTGTTTAATAATGGACAGCTACTGGTCTAATAACGGACAGTTACAGGTAACAAACACACCTTCGAGCACTTGCAAAATTTAGAAGAAAATCCACTATTTGTTTATTAAACAAACGGATTTACTAGACAAACATGTAAATACCACGGACTTTGATGGCATCTAATTCTAATATAATTCCAGGTAAGTCGGAACACCGCAGATAGTTATATTTGATTCATAGATAATCCGGCTGACTATACCACTGTTGAATTTTATTGAGGAAAAAGTATTTCAGAACAAATGAATCCAACAGAATACTGTAAAACTGGCTTGATGAGGGAATACAGTTATCCAATAATTATTTTGAATTATGAATATTAATGGAATGGGGAAAATCTGCAGCTGATTCAGGAATAATCCTGCTACGAAAATTCATGTGTATTTCTAAATAAAGTCACGATTGCTGTAACTGTCCAATACATGACCATATATACTTACATGTAATGCTGCATAAACAAAAATACCCTACAATTCATTATCAACTTCATATCCTGCATATTGTTCAGTAGCTGTCCATTCCTAACACAACAGTTATTATTTATACAAAGGGTACTGTGTTTTTAGTAGGAGAAAAGTCCTCCGATCTCTGCCATATGGGCCTCGATCAGTCCATTCTCTCACAGTATAGCAGTTTGAGGCTTTTCTTACAAAATCCTTGTGTTCGTCACGGTTGAGCTGGAAAACTATTCAATGTCCGTTTTTTCATGACATTATTTTGTCTAAGCTTCACCCCTGAGCTACATTAAATGCTACCTAATCTAATTCCGTGGAATATATTATCAGATGTAATGTCCATCACGAGAGAGAGAGAGAGAGAAAGAGAGAGAGAGATGTACTATGATACAGGTGATACGGGCACGGGTCAGTTTCGTTTGATTTGGTTTTGTCTTAGATTGGTGCTGACGGTGTTGGTTTATGTGGAAATATTGAATGTTGGCGGGATTAAAATTCCGTTATTTTTTGGAGTCGACGAAAATGATTTAAAAAAAATATGAACTCTTTCGTGAAACAAGGAGGTTTGGCAGAAATGTTTCTACTGTATTCGGAACCAGCAAATATTGCTGATTATCTGCCAAGTGTCAAAGACAGTTGTATGCTGAACAGAGTGAGTACACATTAACATTACAATTGAAATAACTGATCAGAGACATACAAGGCCTGTAGTATATACGTCTCTGAATTGATTAAGCTTAGGAAAACAATTATGTGTGTTTCCTGTTTCTGCCTGAAAAAAATAAGGATCGATAAGTATGTTTTTATGTTTGCTAGATTAGTGAATGGGTTAGTGTCGCATGTATGTACTATTATACTGTTGTGAGATGCTTATCAGAACATTTGGCAAAGCATCTTTGCTATTTTTGAAAAAAAAGATAGTCTTCTCTGTTCCTCAGTTTCAGGTCTCTGGGTGATAATCAGATATCCTTAGTGTGGATGTTGTATGATACAACGGACATCTCCAGTGGATTTTTAATTTCAATTAATGCATGCATGTTAATTGTTCTATTTAATAAAGGTCCATAAAACATGAAGTCATCACTTTCCAGTATGTTCGGATGGGAACAATCCTGGAAGCTGGGAGTACCATGTTATTTTTAGCATTTTTCAGATACTATGTTTTCCGTTTTTGTTGTCTCACTAATTATCGTCTTTGTTGTCTCCTTAATTTGTTTTGTATTTGTCTGATGTCCACTTTTGATTTTCCATTCATTGTATCTTGTGTGTTAATACTATGTTATTTCATAGCTGTGGAGTTTATTTTTATATCAACATGGAAATAAACAAAAGCACAAACCTGGTTTTTGACTCTCCTTTTTCAGCTGAATTTCAACATTCAGTATTTACGAAGTAGTAGAATCAGACTCAAGGTATGCACTTCATATAAGTTGATAACTTCACAAACATAAAGGTTTTTTTACACCAACCATGGGAACAAAACTGAACTAACATCCCAGTTACTTTTGAGTTTCATAGCAACGACCAAGTTTAGAACATCTCCGACGAACAGGCCGCTGCCAAATTCAGAGGCCTGCCCGCCAGAGCTCGCTGAAACAGAGTATTGGGTGTTCTTAGAAACCCATCCGTGGTGATAATGGAAAAAATCCGAAATGAGATCGGTTGTCTTGACACATGTCATTCTTATTTTCCATCGCACTTACAGATGGCAGGTACACTTGACGCCATAACCGTTTCCAAGCCTCGACAATGCCAGAAGGAAGAAAAGAGCAGTGACGAAGGAAACAAAGTTTGTCAACTTCGTGAAGGCAGGCAATACAGGGAAGAGCAGCTTGGAGGGAGGCGAGATTCTCGCAACAGCAGGAGACTGGGAAATGAGGGCAGACATCCATCAGAGGATGGGCTTCCCCACAGAGGTGGCTGCTGCACCACTCCGCCCATACATTATGTTGTGGTCCCGGAACTCAAAGCAGGTTGTGATGGTAGAACTGACGGTTCCATTGGAGGAGAGGATAGAGGAGGCACATGAGCGGAAGAGGACGAAGTACCAGCATCTTGTAGAGGACTGCCAACAACAAGGTTGGAAGATATGGTGCCTGCCAGTAGAGGTTGGTTGCAGGGGTTTCCCCTAGTAATCTCTATGGAGGACGTTGAGATTGCTGGGGAAGTTAGGGACATAGCGGAAGAAGCTTGTGGGTGCTGTGAGCAGACAGGTAGAGATGGCATCCAACTGGATATGGAGAAAGAGAGAAGAGCCGTGGGGTGGACACAACAACAGTGCTAGTCACATGGTGCCACAACACGGGACATGTCAAGACTTGATGGACAAAGCAGGGGGCTGCAGCAACAACATAGCAGCAAGCTGCAGTTCCAGCCAGCAGCAGCGAGAGCCAACCAGTCCCTGGCTGGGTCTGATCAACCCAGTGGGCGCACCTCTGGAGGACGTCGTGGATAAGCGCCGGGACGTCTAACGAAGGAGGACCATCCACCCGATGATGGGACTGGTCAGCATTGGAATATTTTCCTATGTATTCAAGGTATCAACATTCTGCATTTCCAGTGGCTACTAGGAAAGGCTAGTTGACGACTGCGAACAGAGCAGTGACAACCTGGAAAGTCGGGAGACAGTTGGGAGTCACTAACACGGGTGTTAGGCTTTGCATGCCGAACCGCATTCCCTTTGAAAGGAAACCCATTACTCGCTTTGATTTGGTTTTATTTTGTTTAACGTCCTATTAACAGCTAAGGTCATTTAAGGACGGCCTCCCCTGTGTGCAAGATGCATGCGTGTAGTGCATGTGTGTGCATTTTGGGAGGCTGCGATATGTTCGTGTTTGTCTCTTGTGATAGCGCGGAACTGATGCCGACTTTATAGTGCTTCCTCACTGAAACATACTGCCGAAGACACCCAGCAAGACGCCCCACCCGGTCACATTATACTGACACCGGGCGAACCAGTCGTCCCACTCCTAATTTGCTGAGCGTTAAGCAGGAGTAGAAACTACCTTTTTTAAAGACTTTGGTATGTCTCGGCCAGGGGATAGAACCCAAAGCCTTCCTCACAGGGGCGAACGCCCAACAAATGGCCAAAAGTGAGGCATTGTCAAGAGAGACATTAGGAAGAAGAAAGTTATTTAGAAAGAAGAGAAGAGATAAGGTCCCACATTTAGTCGACTCTTACGATGGAAAAATATATTCAAAGACACCCCGGGGTCGCACGAGAGTGGGGGAGGATGAGCATGCTGGTATAGAGAAGAATAAAGATGTATTTAGTCTGAAACATAACATTCTGAAGCCATGGATACTCGATATATGAAAATATTTGCATTTTTTTTTTATTTAAAACATTTTCCAGTGATTGCTCAATATAAGCATATGAATACTGAATACGTGCACAATGTTACTGCAAATTTACTATTTAAGAGAGTTTCATGAAAATCAACCATGGAATGCATCAATTGAAGGCTGGTTACGGGTAAGAGAAATGGGTGTTGATGGGAAACATTTTGTATACTTTTTGATCCATTTGATATCCCATCTCATCTTCTCAAGTTCCATTCCATTTAATTGTCATCACTCTTAACAGCAACGTCAATCACAATGAATTTTGATCATAATGACGATACAAAAACCAAGAACAAGAATACTACTATTAAATATCATTATTGCTATTTATAGAAATTTGTGAAATATCTACAGCTTTATTTGTTTACAGAATTTCATCAGTTTACCAAAATGTATCAATGCGGTTTTCGAAAGTTATTAGATTTGGTACTTAAATAACGTTCTCAGGTAGGGACTTCCAGTTGCTAACAATTCGTTGAGTTAATAAGTATTTCCTAACGTCCAGTATGCTCCTTGATTTATTCAAACTGAGTCCTTTTATCTTGTTTTATTGACAAAAGTCCCTGTCATGCTGTTGTATCATATACTCCCCTCAATATTTTGAACACTTCTATCATGTCTCCCCTATTACGTCTATATAATAACGACGGGCGTTTAGACGACGCAATCATTCCTAGTATGAAAATTCATTGATTCTTGGTAGTTATTTAGTAGCTCTCCGTGGACACTTTCTAGTATTTCAATATCCTGTTTTTCAATCTCTAGAGGGATCGAACTAAAACTTTATACATTAGGCAGAATTAATTATTATAAGTATGTATATTTTTTAGTAATCTATCAGGAAAGTACCCGAAATTTGAAGAATATTGATTTGAAAATTCAATTGAAGATTTAGAATTTTATGGTTAAGCAACATATTGAAGGAACTTTCAATTTTTATTATTTTGATAAGCATTATGCTGATACAGGAATCAAAGTTTCCGTTGTATCCTGTCCCAAATTTTTAATTATCCATCTATGTCCAATTTATCATAAATATATATAAGCGTCCAGTTGCTTACCACAATTTTACCACAAGATATCTTTTAGAAACAAGGTGAAAAATATGCATAACATTCGGTTCAGTTGACATAACATGTCTACATTCTTAAAATCAACTAAATCCGTTTATTATCCAGCACAACAGTGACAAAGCACACAGATAACTATTATGGCCAGCACGCCCCGCTTTGCAACAAGATGTACACACGTATCGCTCCCTACATTGTGTGGGTGCTCCTCAGCTACGTTCTACACAGGACAGACTGCAGAGTGAGGATGTCTAAGGTAAGCTATATATATTTGATGCATTGTTAAGGACACTACGTATACATGATACGTAACATTGCGGGATACTCCTGGATCAGATATATGGTGAAAATACCCCTGGGTGAGATACATTGTGGGGATACCCTGAGTAAGTACATTGTAGGGATACTCTTTGGTAAGATACATTGGGGGATACCCCTGGGTGAGATACATTTGGGGATCCCCCCTGGTAAAATATATATTGTTGGGATATTCCTTGGTAAGATAAATTGTGGGATACTCCAGGGCAACAGACATTATAGGGATACTCCCAGATAAGGTACATTGTGGGAATACTCATGGGTAACATACATTGTGGGGATACTCCAAGATAAGATACGTTATGGGATTACTCCTGGATAAGAAAAATTGTGGGATACTCTGGATAAGATACATTGAAGGGTGACTCTTGGATAAGATATATTGTGGGAATACTCCAGGATAAGATACATTGTGGGGATACTCCACGGTAAGATACATTGTGGGGATACTCCTGGGTAAGATGCATTGTGGGGATACTCCTGGGTAAGATACATTGTGGGGATACTCCTGGATAAGATACATTGTGGGGATACTCCAGGGTAAGATACATTGTCGGGATACTCCAGGGTAAGAAACATTGTGGGGATACTCGAGGGTAGGATATATTGTGGGGATACCCCTGAGTAAGATACATTGTGGGGATACTCCTGGGTAACATACATTGTGGAGATACTCCAAGATAAGATTCGTTATGGGATTACTCCTGGATAAGAAAAATTGTGGGATACTCCTGGATAAGATACATTGAAGGGTGACTCTTGGATAAGATATATTGTGGGAATACTCCAGGATAAGATACATTGTGGGGATACTCCTGGGTAAGATGCATTGTGGGGATACTCCTGGGTAAGATACATTGTGGAGATACTCCAAGATAAGATTCGTTATGGGATTACTCCTGGATAAGAAAAATTGTGGGATACTCCTGGATAAGATACATTGTGGGGATACTCCAGGGTAAGATACATTGTGGGGATCCTCCTGGGTAAGATGCATTGTGGGGATACTCCTGGGTAAGATACATTGTGGGGATATTCCAGGGGAAGATACATTGTGGGGATACTCCTTGGTAAGATACAGTGTGGGGATATTCCTGGGTAAGATACATTGTGGGGGATACCCCAGGGTAAGATACATTTAGGGGATACTGCATGGTAAGCTACACTGTGGGATACTCCTTGGTAAGATACATTGTGGAAATACTCCTTGGTAAGATATATTGTGGGGATACTCCAGGATAAGATACATTGTGGGGATACACCAGGATAAGATACATTGTGTGGATACACCTGGATAAGATACATTGTGGAGATACACCAGGGTAAGATACATTGTGGGATACACCAGGATAAGATACATTTTGGGGATACTCCAGGGTAAGATACACTGTGGGATTGGATAAGATACATTGTGGGATACTCCTGGATAAGATACATTATGGGGATACTCCAGGGTAAGATACACTGTGGGATTGGATAAGATACATTGTGGGATACTCTGGATAAGATACATTGTAGGGTGACTCTTGGATAAGATACTTTGTGGGGATACTCCTGGGTAAGATACATTGTGGGGATACTCCAGGGTAAGATACATTGTCGGGATACTCCTGGGTAACATATAGTGTGGGATACTCCTGGGTAAGATACACTGTCGGGAGACTTTTGTGTATATTACGTTTTGGGGATACTCCTTGGTAAGATACATTGTGGGGAAGATCCTGGATAAGATTCAGTGTTGGGATACTTCTGAATAAGATACATTGTGGGGATACACCAGGGTAAGATACATTGTGGGGATACACCAGGGTAAGATATATTGTGGGGAAGATCCTGGATAAGATTCAGTGTTGGGATACTTCTGAATAAGATACATTGTGGGGATAAACCAGGGTAAGATACATTGTGTGGATACACCAAGGTAAGATACATTGTGGGATACACCAGGATACGATACATTGTGTGGATACACCAGGAGAAGATACATTGTGGGGATACACTAGGGCAAGATACATTGTGGGGATACACTAGGGCAAGATACATTGTGGGGATACAACAGTGTAAGATACATTGTGGGGATAAACCAGGGTAAGATACATTGTGGGATACACCAGGATACGATACATTGTGTGGATACACCTTGGTATGATACATTGTGGAGATACACCAGGATAAGGTACATTGTGTGGATACACCAGGAAAAGATACATTGTGGGGATACACTAGGGAAAGATACATTGTGGAGATACACCAGGATAAGAGACATTGTGGGGATACACCAGGGGAAGATACATTGTGGGATACACCAGGATACGATACATTGTGTGGATACACCAGGTTAAGATACATTGTGGGGATACTCCGTGGTAAGATACACTGTGGGATACTCCTTAGTAAGATACATTGTGGCGATACACCAGGGTAAGATACACTGTGGGATAAATCAGGATAAGATACATTGTGTGAGTACACCAGGATAAGATACATTTTGTGGATACACCAGGATAAGATACATTGCGGGGATACACCAGGGTAAGATGCATTGTGGGGAAGATCCTGGATATGATACATTGTGGGGATACACCAGGGAAAGATACATTGTGGGATACACCAGGATACGATACATTGTGTGGATACACCTTGGTATGATACATTGTGGAGATACACCAGGAGAAGAGACATTGTGGGGATACACCAGGGAAAGATACATTGTGGAGATACACCAGGATAAAATACATTGTGGGGATACTCCAGGATAAGATTCATTGTGGGGAAGATCCTGGATATGATACATTGTGGGGATACACCGGGATAAGATACATTGTGTGGATAGACCAGGGTAAGATACATTGTGTGGATACACCAAGGTAAGATACATTGTGGGGATACACCAGGGTAAGATACATTGTGGAGATACACTAGGGTAAGATACATTGTGGGGATACACTAGGGTAAGATACATTGTGGGGATACACCAGGGTAAGATACATTGTGGGGATACACCAGGGTAAGATACACTGTGGGATACTCCTTAGTAAGATACATTGTGGAGATACACCAGGGTAAGATACATTGTGGGGATACACTAGGGTAAGATACATTGTGGAGATACACCAGGGTAAGATACATTGTTTGGATACTTCTGTATATATTACGTTTTGGGGAAACCACAAGGTAAGATACTTTTTGGGAAGGTCCTGACCCTTTTTGATAAAGCTATGGCTCTTTCTTGAAAATTCCTTATACATGAAGTATGTCAGTGACCTGTATACTTAAATAAGTGTACAGCTCAGTCAATAAAGAAATCATTACTTGTGGGAGACTATGGATTGCTTTGCAATGCTTTGCCTTAGTAAACCTGTACCTTACAGTTCTGGTTTATATAGGAGCAGGGGGTATTAATTAGCCTTTGGCTTACAGTTCTAGTTGAAACTGAAATTGAAATCTTACTACTTGACACTCAGTAACATCATATAATCATAGATATATATACAAACATACCTCATACCTATCAATATAAAATTCAAGTTTGTTTATAGAAAATTAATTTAATTGAGAAATTGAATGACTGCAATTGAGATACACCTAGTGTAGGGAAAATATAATGATGTTGTCGGATCTGCAGTGGTTTATATATTTTGTTTTTGAAACTTCAACTTCTGTCCTTATACAGGCTGTAGTTTTGATTGGATGGTCTGTTTCCTTAGCGACAGGACTGTGTTGTATATGGCCTCTATTACTACTATCACCATGGTTGCAATGCACCCCTTGGCACCAAGTGTGATTAACGTGGCCTTAAATCACTTTTCCTGGAGTGTCGCCCTGGCCTGGGTTATATTTGCCTGTGCTACTGGATATGGAGGTAAGATTGTAACTCAGGTTATCTCCCTTGGGTAATAAGAAGATTGTACCTCTCTCATTGATGAAGTTGTAATGTTAGTTTTGGACAATTTTTTTACCCGCGAAATAATTTGAAAGTTCCAAAACCATGAAAGAAAGTACACACGAATAGAACATTTTATGTTCGTGAGTTCGTGGCTCTATAAGTGACCGAACGGTTTAGGCAATTTACTGTCTATGATCACCCGCCCTCTATCACTGGGTCCCGGGTTTGAAGTCTACGTGGGCCAAGTACTTGCGGCACGTTGATTGTCTTTCTCTGGGTACCCTGACGTTCCTACGCCACCGAAACCTGACATGTCGTTAATGGTTCATACCTGTTAATAGGATGAGATCCCCACCCCATATAGACGTTTAATAGGCAAAAATCCATAAACACAGTCATGTACTGGATTTGACCCTTGGGTCTGGCTCCACCCCTAGTGATTTATATTTTGGGTCATATCTTTGAAACAGTTGTTATCCCCACCAAATTAATGTAAAAAAAACATTGCTTGGCATCGAGAGACAAGCACAATTATAATATTAGAATTGATCCTGAGGTCTGGTCCTACCTCTAAGGACATACTTCTTGCGTCATAACATTGAAACGGTTGAGATCCCCACCCCTTAACCATATGTATCATTGCTGGGCATCAAGAAACCGACACAATGTTATATTACTATTGACCCTTGAGTCTGATCAGGCCCATAACTTTAAAACATATGAGATTCCAACCCTATAACCATATATATGAATTTGATAGGCATAAAGAAATAAACACAGTCATATATTAGTATTGACTCTATGGTCTGGCCCCATCCATAGGGACTTAATTCTTGGGTCATAACTTTGAAACGGTTTAGATCCTAAACCCATAGCCATTTATACCATTGCTTGGCATATAAAGATCCATGTGAGCAATACGGGCCCTCTGGGCTTCTTGTTTATGTTTAAATATCCGGTATATAAGTAAGCTACCAGGAATGACCAGAGGGTCTATGGAACCCCAGATAACTTAGTCCCTGGGTCATAACATGGACATGTTTGAGATCATTACCCCATTCCTACAGCTGTTAGGCATTCATTTGCTTGAAATAAGCACAATAATCTAACCGTATAACCAAGGACTGGCTTTGCCCCACACTAAGGGACCTAGTATGTGGGTGAAAATAAAAATCCCACCCCATAACCTGGTATACTAATCCGTGTAACGAATGTATTACCCCTTTGAGTCTTATAATAAAAACAAAGAGAGTATTTCCTCATCAGTATGCGAAGCGAAACGTTTTGCCATTTTGTAAACAGCGAAGCAGACGACGAATGCGAGTTGTCTCCCGATGCCCGGCCGCAAGATACAAAGACACGTGACCCGTATAACCCTTGAAAAATCAAGTGATTCCACCGTATTACTGCTGAGAACCACGTGATATGACCGTATACCCCCTGAGATTTTCGGATACCCCCTGAGATTTACGAATGCGGTTTGGTAAACTGTAGTATTTAACCAATCAGATTCCTTGATTTTTCTAAAAGAGGTAATAAATGAAGTTACTAGGAATGAAGTGATGCATTTTGATTTTCTACCAGATTGGACCTCTGGGTCTGCCTCTGCCCTATAGGATATAGTCCATGAGTTATGACATGAAAACAAGAAGAACAGTTGCTGAACATGAAGTTTTGGATAATTTGCGATACCGGATTAGCCTTGGGATTCGATTCTGTGCAATCGGCGGGAAGTCAGTGCCTAGTGCCTAACGCGACAATAGTTGATATTCAATAACTATATCATACAATTACGTATGCAGTGCATGCAGTTGCAAACAAAATAATGCTATCATATTGACTCTGTTTTCTGATCCTGCCCCTCCTGCCATACACACGTTATGCTTCCAAAAATCATCAATGGCATCAGTAAAACACGGTTTCATTTTATAAAGTAAAGCCACTTTTTTGTTCAGCAAGATGTTGGTGTTATAACGGGTTTTTTCATAACATCAAGGGATTTATTGACAAATAAAGGAGGAGATACTATGAAGAAATTCTGAAAGGAAATGGGGAAAGGGAAAATCAAAATGTGCTTGTTGTAAGCAAACTGGTAGTGTACTGGATAGGCTGCTACATATGTTTTGCCGTATATATATACTTTCCTGAAATGAAGATATGCTTTTGTTTCCAGATATGCTATTTCACTGGTATGTTGGTTCTGTTTTCCGGTGCTGCCTACATCGTATCTATGGCAGAAGAGGCTCCGATGATCGGTCTGGAAAAAATTCTTATGAAGGAACTCTCAACACAAATTCAAAAGTGCTGTGAGCAAAATCACAGTATTAACAACGGCCAGTGAAAATATGATTCTTTACAGTTTACTGTTATAAGTTCATGTGAATAAAAATGTGCTAAACAAAATTTTCAATGTTTGAAGCCTTATTCATTGCCCATTATGACTGATAATTTAAAATCGTCTCAAACTGAGTTTTAACGAAGCATTACTAAATACATTAATGCCAGTTATATATCTCATTTTTAAAAATATTTTCATATTTTTTTAAATTGAAAGCCAAATATACAGTCGAAGGATTAAAAATGACTACTCTTAGATAAAAATACATAACAATAAAAAATATATATACGAATTTGAAGTTTTTGCTTTTAGGATACATTCTTCTGATGTCAAAATTATGTTTGAATCTTATTTTCATCTAGTAGTGGTTTTTATAAAGTTTTACAAATTATGGTCAATTTTAATAGCAAACATGCATATGAAAAAAATAACTTTAAAAAATCAGATGCATGTTTTTTGCAATTCTTGTTTTCGTGTAAAAAAATATATTACCAGTTTGGCAGCAATTTGAATATCCCCAAACTTGCATTGCTAAAAGTTTACCTTTTCTTTGGCATCAGATTTATCACCAAACGTGTACATGCTTGTATCACTGTTTATTAACTGCAGAAAGCTAATTTTTGGTGTGCAAGTTTTAAATATTCAATATTGATTCATGGATGCAATGGGCAGGAAAAGCAGAACCATTGTCAGATATGTCCTCATTTGAGGGACACCAGATATACCTAGGAGGAGAAGATAGGGGAAAATGAAATATTTGTTTCATATACATCGATAAGATCGGCACCTGACTTGAAACACTTAATAATCATGAAGCTAAAATCTTAACATATGATCTATAAAAGAAAACAGAGAAAAAGAAAGAATCTAAGATTATAAAAGGTGTAACCCAATTGAAGAAACAGTTGTGACCGTTTGGCTTTCTGTCATGCCTTTCCGCTTTGTGTCCTTTTATGTTGAAATTGACGCACGATGTCTGCGAGAATGTTTGTGATTAGTTCCCGTGTTTGGTCAGTGTAACCAACCATTTCCACTTAAAAATGTTTAACACCATTGATTGTTTTACATGTGAGAAGTTTAACAGTATCATACGCGTCATCTTGTGCATGCACAGTACCAATGCTTTTACTATTTTTGGGGTGCACATCAATACTTGGTGCATTGCAACTAAATATAAGGTCACGTGGTGATAGTATTTCCTCGGCAGAATACAAATGTGTATTGCAGATAAAAATAAAACAACATGTGCTGCACAGGGTCATGTTGATCGTCATGATAAATTATCCTCTTCTGACTCATCAAGAGGAGAGATAGGAGAGGAATATTATCAGGACAAATCATGTCCCTGTGATGTAAACAGCATACCATAAAACATGACTTATAAGCTGTCGGCCGTAGGCCAGATAATGTAGCCATAAATAGACGGTAAAAAAGGATCTTCTCGATTAAAATATAAAATATCACAAAGTCAATATTTAAGTTAAAATATTTTTTTAAATACACGATGTAAACAATTATCTACACTTAACACAGTACCGCAGCAAATCCAGGTATCCTCACGAACATTGGGCAGCAGCTGTGCGGCATAGCAGACGACGCATGATACAGGTAGACAAAATATTGGCGAACATACATAATGTATGCACGTCAGATTGGACAAGAAGGGGATTCCCAATTAAAAGTGCACAGTTAAACCTTCTTTCTTGTTGTTGATTGTGAATGAACAGACACGCAAAAAACCCAAGCCTGTACTTGGGCTACACTCGACGATGACATGGTAAGTGGGTACATACAACCCCGCATATGTCATAACCTTTCTACATTTATTCTGCTTCAAAGCATTTTGAATAAAAGACAGTGGCGAGGCATGTGACGGTGTATGCACAGTGATAGGTAAACTCGGTAACACCCGATAAGAGTAGTGCTGTAGGTTGGTACAGGGGTTGGTGAAGACTGGGGACTGCGCTGAAACGCCCATTTTACATATACTGATGAATTATGAATAATTTCTCAGTAAATCGATATTTTAGAGAGAAAAAATACAATAATAAGAAAGGTTGTATCTCTGTATCTCTGTATCGTAGTTTAAATGCGTTTTGTCGTCTGCTATGTCATTACAGTAAACTGTACTTAAAACATGAATGCGCATGCTCTGTATTTGTTAATGTGTGGCTGGCAGGCTGTTTGGCTAGGGTTAAGCAAATCTATCTCCGATTCGATTTACTGGTCTTTGGACTTTGAACACAATATCGTCAATACTTCAATCATAGTTTACATCAACGTAACGAAGTTATTTATATTAGTGTGTTATTCGTATTGCATGGCCTGGGAAATGGGATGAGACGAAATTTTAAACAGTAAGTAGGTCATATCACCTGCATCTGTCATAATCCTGAATGCAGAATGTGTGCATTAAAATATCGTATCAGTTGACATTTATTTTTAAACATGTTGACTTCCCATTGTATATTGTTTTTGTGATGATTTCAGATCTTTGGAATTTACACATGAATAAAACCATTGCGCATACCAGAGCTGTCTGAGGCGTGTAGTGGACAATGGCTACCAAAACAACATTTTTTTTTAAAGGACAAATGCCCGTACGTACTAAAGGGCAAATACACTGCACTTTTCACAGCGAAAAGATATTTCAACTTTATTGTATTACCTGTCAGGAGTTAGCCTGTATTAAGTGTGTATCAACCATCCATAGAGGACACAACTTAGATGACTTACAGGATCTTACACCACAAAAAAAGGGGAAAATTCGTAATTTCATTGACACTTCAGAATCCACAAAGAGCAATGAATTTCAACAAAATTTGGCGTCTGTTGACCAAAAACTATCGGAAAATGCAGACAATTTTGAAAAATTATGTATTGCTGCAAAAGCCCATGCTGAAAAACTGAAGAAAGAAATTAATGATTATACATTGACAAAGATTTCAATCTTTAGGGAAATTAAAGAGGAGAATGAGAAGCTGCTAAGCCAGTACAAAGAGGATATTTACCGAAGAAAAGAACGATTTTGTAATTTTCTCAAAGAGTGCAAAGAATCCGTTCAAACAGGGTCAGATATCCAGATCCATGACACTGAAAAAGAAGTGGACACACACATGTATAACACTCCACCATCAGTGCCAGCCGTCCAGCATGTGTCTTTCAGACCAAATCTGTATCCTTTACAGTCCATTGAACACGCCTTTGGTTTGGTGACAACGGAGCGCAAGGCTTCCGAGAACATGCTGAAAGATTCATCCGGGTCACAACCATGCAAGATTTGTCCTGCTAATACCAAATTCGACAAAGCAGCTGCGACAAATCCGCATATCACGAAACACAAAAGAGCACCGCGAATGCTAGCGACACGAAAGAAGGAGAATGATTTAGGTAAACCACTACTTCCGCAGGACCAGCACAGAAAAACGCGCTGTCAAACAACAAAGATACTTGCAGATTTTCAATCTCCATTTGCTGTCTTGGATATGAGTGTTATTGGCGAAGAGGCCTGGACATGCTGCGCGTGTTATGACAACATTACACTTATAAGCAATAAAGGTGAAAAGAAACGAAATGTCACGTTAACGTTAACAAGCTATGTTATGGGTATCAGCGTATCACCGACGACCCATCACTGCTGGGCTCATTCGTATGATGGGAAAATCGTAGAAGTGACTCCGACAAAAGTAATCCATCGCTTCAACACAACTATAAATAAGCTTCATTCAATCTGCGTTACTCTGGATGAACACATTCTCATTGGAGGACCAGGAGCGCTAACGAAGTTGACAACCAACGGGAAAACGGTCTTTAAGACGACGACGTCGAGTTCTGGTCAGCCACTTTGTGTGTCACCCTGCAGGATGTCAGAATGTAGAATCACTGGAAACATAGCAATGGTTGATGGAGACCACGTCTTAGTGATTGACAAACACTTTCAGCAACTTTTCATGTACAAAGGTGCCATGTCGACTGTTGACCAATCTAAAGTGTCAAAAGCTTGGAGTCCAGAGGATGTTGCATATGATAACACAGGGAATCTTGTTGTGTGTGATAGGAACACCATTTTTCTCATCAGCAACGAAGGCATGTTTCTGCGGCAGTTGTTTTCTGATACATCTGCATACATACATTGTGTTTGTATAGAGGAAACGGGCACACTTTGGTTTGGAAGCTATGATTTCCACGTAAGACTTCTTCAGTATACGTAGATTTGGTATGTGACGTCTGAGCAAACATGTCCAAAACAATGTCTTAGTTTGACAACAAAATTCATATGGTACATGACCTTCTCAAAATTCGTTGGATTTTAGGTATGAAATATGACTAGCTTTATTCTGACTTAAGAAGTTTTAACAGACAAAAACCGCGAGGTATTTATCCTATGTATAAGAATATTGAGTTAGATATGAGTTAAGACCCCGTACTAGCTAAGCTCTATTCACATGCTATCTTTAGTGAGTCTTTTCCAATGCGAGATTTTTCAACTCTATGTATCTATGTTCAGATCGAGTTTTTGTTTTTAAATTTTATGAAGTTTATGAAACAACTCAACATGATATGATGAAATCGATACTTTCGTTCGATGACGTCATATTCAACAAAGTGTCGAATACATCTGACCAATATGCTAAAAGGGTCATTATGATGTAGATCAGACATTCCGAAAGCTTCAATAGGTTGTTTTTTTCCTCTCTCTCCGCCCCTCTCTCGTTTTTTACAAATGGTGTACAAAATGACAAATGTTAAGCCTCATAGCTTGTTTGACCTGTATCATCCTGAACTATACAATCGACCGTGTGTAGCCGGGAACGTTACTCTACTCGTGTATCCTCCGGGCTAGTTTCAGGGACATCGAGTTTTTGTCGGGGTTATCTAAATTCCTTTTTTGCGTGGTTGTCAGGCGCCCTCTGTTGGTATTATTAAAGATTATTATTGAGGTTTTTACCGTCATTATTCTAGAAAGCTTTGAACGTTCTTAACATTTCATTATGTCTGTTAGTCTTAAGTTATGCATGCTTCTTTTGAGACTCGTCCGAAAAAGAAGATGGCCATCAGCTGGCGGTCATCTAAGATTTACACAGCGGAAGATTGTTATTATAAGTACTGGACGGTTATTGTCAAATTTCATTGATAGTTGTCCCCTTAATCCTCAGTTGTCCATGCTACTTATACATGTAGTGTTTAATTACAAAACAAAATTGTGACCATTTGAAATCAATATTATTGCTTGAGGTGTGGACATTTCATGCCAATATACTGATGATTTTATTATTCACGTTTCGTCATAAAAAATGACAGTTACACTAGTTGTGTTTAGTCATACAAACATTCTACACATTGTATGTTATCTAACATGTAGATGTATACTTGCTGCGAAAATCGTAAATAAAAAATTGTGGTTTGCAGTTTTATCAAGGAATATTTTAAATATTGTCTTGTGCATATAACATTTTGGGACATTCAAGGTACGAAATTCAAAAACTGTACGCAAACGTTTAGATATTTATAAATGTTGGAATCTGTCTACACTGTCAAACCAAGAACAAACATGTTGTCGTAATGATATGTAAGGATCCATTTGTCCTGATATAAATCAGAACTGCCGCTGACTTGTGTTTTTTTCTCCACAAGATACATTTTTATGAGAGGTATTAAGGTTCATTATAGGATTTGCCAAGTGAAATTTAATTATGGCTGCAATGTTTTCAAAACTTTAAATGTATTCAATTTTACCATGTCCCTTCGGGGGCTCCGTAGTATCATATCAAAGAGTTAACATTGTTTTCCTTTTTTAATGCATGGCTGCCCACTGTTTTTCCAAAAGGAGCAGTTCTAAAGAAGGTCTTTGTCAGGTATAGTACTAGACCACCCATGAAGTCGTGCAGCGTACCAGGGCAAAGTGAAAAAGGGGATCATGTTCCCCTACTACAACGGCAGTTAGTACTTTAAAATACCAAACACTATTATTGTTGTCGTCTGCTTTGGTCGCCCGAGAACTCGGGGTGATGTTCCGCTTATCACCGAGAACTCGGGGTGATGTTCCGCTTATCACCGGGAACTCGGGGTGATGTTCGCTTATCATCGGGAACTCGGGGTGATGTTCCGCTTATCATCGGGAACTCGGGGTGATGTTCCGCTTATCATCGGGAACTCGGGGTGATGTTCCGCTTATCATCGAGAACTCGGGGTGATGTTCCGCTTATCACCGGGAACTCGGGGTGATGTTCCG